TTTATCTGATAGGTCATTTGCAAATTATCTTCTCCCATTCCGTCATTTGCCTTTTAGTTTTGCTTATTGTTTCCTTCACTGTGCTGGAAGTCCCAGTAGTTCATTTTTGCTTTTGTTTCCCTTGCCTCTGGAGACATGTTGAGAAAGAAGTTGCTGCAGCCAAGATCAAAGAGGTTCTTGCCTGCTTTATCCTCAAGGATTTTGATGGGTTCCTGTCTTACATTTAGTCTTTCATCCATTTTGAGTTTATTTTTGTGTATGGTGTAAGAAAGCATGTCGCTGTCCAGTTTTCCCAGCACCACTTGCTGAAGAGACTGTCTTTATTCCATTGGATATTCTTTCCTGCTTTGTCAAAGATTAGTTGGCCAGGGGCGCCTGGGTGGCGCAGTCGGTTAAGCGTCCGACTTCAGCCAGGTCACGATCTCGCGGTCCGTGAATTCGAGCCCCGCCTCAGGCTCTGGGCTGATGGCTCGGAGCCTGGAGCCTGTTTCCGATTCTGTGTCTCCCTCTCTCTCTGCCCCTCCCCCGTTCATGCTCTGTCTCTCTCTGTCCCAAAAATAAATAAACGTTGAAAAAAAAAATTAAAAAAAAAAAAAAAAGATTAGTTGGCCAGACATTTGTAGGTCCATTTCTGGGTTCTCTATTCTGTTCCATTGATCTGAGTGTCTGTTTTTATGCCAGTATTTGTATTTTTTCCAGATTTTTTCTTGTGGTTGATTAGTTTCATGGCATTGTGGTCAGAAAAGATGCATGGTATGATTTCAGTCTTTGTGAATTTATTGACATTGATATTGTTTTGTGGCACTGTGTGATATATTCTGGAGAACGTTTCATGTGCACTTGAAAAGGATGTGTATTCTGCTGTTGTATGATGGGATGTTCTGAATATATCTGTTAGATCTGTCTCTTCCAATGTGTCATTCACAGCTGCTATTTTCTTTTTGATTTTCTGTTTGGATTATCTATCCATTGATGTAAGTGGGGTGTTAAGGTCCCCAATTATTACAGTATTACTATCAATTGCTTAATTTATATTTGTTAATAGGTGCTTAATGTATTTGGGTTCTCCCATATTGGGTGCATAACTATTTACAGTTCTATCTTGTTGGCTTTTCCCCTGTATGATTATATAGTGTCTTTCTTTGTCTCTTGTTACAGTCTTTGTTTTAAAGTCTGTTTTGTCCAATGTAAGTGTTGCTATCCTGGTTTTCTTTTCACTTCCATTTATATGATAAATGCTTTTCCATCCTTTTATTTTCATTCTGTATATGTCTTCATGCGTGAAACACATCTATTGTAGGTAACATATGGATGGATCTTGCTGTTTTATCCATTCTGTTGCCATGTGGCTTTTAATTGGAGCATTTAGTCCAGTTACATTCAAAGCAGTTAATAGGTATGTACTTAATGCAGTTTTGTTAATGGGTTTATGGTTGTTTTTGTAGTTCTATTTTCCTTTTTTCTCTTCTCTCTGTAGTGATATACTTGGATTCCTTTCTCTTTACGTTTTACATATCCATTATCAGTTTTTGATTTGTAGTTACCACTAAATTTATTTATGACATCTTATGCATATATCAGTCTATATTAGGATGATAGTCTTTTAAGTTTGAACTCATTTTAAAAGCACTTTACCTCTTGTCTCCCCCCCCCACGTTTTAAGTATGTGAGTCATACTTTATATTATTTTGCAGATCACTTAATTTTACTGTTTTTGTGCTGCTCTTACTCTTCCTTATGGTCTTTCTTTCCCACTCAGAGTCCCATATAACATTTCTGGTAAGTCTGAGTACTGGTGATGAATTTAACTTTTTTTTTTTTTTTAATCAGGAAAATTCTTTTTTTCCAATATATGAAATTTATTGTCAAATTGGTTTCCATACAGCACCAGTGCTCATCCCAAAAGGTGCCCTCCTCAATACCCATCACCCACCTTCCCCTCCCTCCTACCCCCCATCAACCCTCAGTTTGTTCTCAGTTTTTAAGAGTCTCTTATGCTTTGGCTCTCTCCCACTCTAACCTCTTTTTTTGTTTGTTTTCCCTCCCCCTCCCCCATGGGTTTCTGTTAAGTTTCTCAGGATCCACATAAGAGTGAAAACCTATGGTATCTGTCTTTCTCTGTATGGCTTATTTCACTTTTCATAATACTCTCCAGTTCTGTCCATGTTGCTACAAAGGGCCGTATTTCATTCTTTCTCATTGCCATGTAGTCATCAGGGAAATTCTTAATCTCTCATTCTATTCTGAATGGTAATCTTGCTGGATAGAGTATTCTTAATTGCAGGTTTATTCTTTCAGCCCTTTAAATATATCACCACTCTTCTGTGGCCTGCAAAGTTTCTGCTGAAAAATCAGCTGATAGCTTTATGTGGTTTCCCTTGTATGTAACTGTTTCCTTTCTCTCTTGGTACTTTTAAGATTGTTTGTTTATCACAGTTTTTCCCATTTTAATTACTGTGTCTTGGTGTGGACCTCCTTGTGTTGATTATGTTGGGCTCTCTTTGTACCATCTGGATCTGGATTTGTCCTTCCTCAGTTTTCAGGTATTAATTTCATCAAATAAATGTTTGCCCCCTTTTTCCTCTTTTCCTCTTAGATCTTTATAATCATGTATGTCAATAAGTTCCCTTATTCTCATTTTTTATTATTTTCTGTCTCCTCTTCAGCTTGATTGCTTTCCTTTGCTCTGTCCTCCAAATCACTGATAAATTCTGCTTCTTCTAGTGTACTATTTTTAACTTCAGTTATTGAGTTACTCATCTCTGATGATTTCTTTTTAATGTTTTCTGTCACTTTTTTGAGGGTCTGACTGTGACCCTCCTCACTTTTCTTAAGTCCAGTGAGCATCTTTATGACCATTACTTTAAATTCTCTATCAAGCATCTTATCTCCATTTTTATTTTATGTCTCTTACCATGATTTTCATGTTCTTTCATTTGTGACATACTCCTCTGTCTCCTCATTTTGTCTAATTCTTTGTGTCTGTTTCTATGTGTTAGGAAAGTCAGGTATATCTCCTGCTCCTGAAAGTAATAGCTTTATGAAGAAGAGGTTCTATAGCATCCTACACTGTAATGTCCCATGTTCCCCAGAATGTGGCAGTTCAGATGTGTGTCCTATGTGTGTTGCACATATCCTGCTATCGTGGCTTAGCTGAGTTTGCCTTTGATTCAGTTGCCTGAGATGGCTCTCTTTGCCTGTTGGGGACAGGGTTTAGTTCCTGTGTTGTTAGTGGTCCAGTCTGGGGCTGCCTTGAGGTTGAGTTGGTTCAAACTGTATTTGCCAGAACTGTAGTCCGTCCCCAAGAGGCTTTCATTGGTGGGTGAGGCCTACAGTCAGATCAGTTGTCTGCCCCTAGCCCATTGCTCAGGCCATAGTTGAACTGGTATGTGTGGTTATTCCCCCTCTCCCATCACAGGAGTCACTGTGGAGTGATGCTGGCCCTTGTTGGGTCTCCTTGCACACTGCCAGGGTTGTGACACCACTTTGGATGGACTCCTGCTACAGGAGAACGTGCAAGTGTGGCACATGGTCATAGCAAGGTTTGCTTAGATCTGCTGTGGGAGGAGGCCTGAGCTGCTTTAGAGAATTCCCGTTGACGGTGGGTTGGAGGTTGATCTTTACTGAGCCTTCAATAGTTTGTTCATGTGCATGTTCCAGTCAGTAATGAAGTGAAATTTTGACAATAGGGACACTCTTAAATCTGCAACTCTTGCCTCTCCAATTACTCACTCCTCAACGTGCTGTGCGTTTAAGGCACATTGGCTTCCCCGGATTCTCATATCTGTCTCTTTGACTTCAGCAGACAGAGCTCTGTTTGACCTCTCTTTCTGCCCCCACAATAGTCTGAAAAACTTCAGGCAGCAAGCTGGGGTAGTCTTACTGCATAATTTGGCGGTTTCTTTTTTATTCTTTTTCTTTCCTGTGCTATATGCTGCCCAGTATCTGAAAACCATTATTTAATGTAGGTTCTTTTTCCTGTGTTTTGGTTGTTTACATTGGGAATGTTTGTATAGTCCCTATTATTCCATCATGGCTGAAAACAGAAATTCTTCTCTTTCATTTTTTATTTATAGTTAACTATTTTAAAAGATGACTGTTGTCCTACTCTACCTATTACTGATTTTTTTTTATTTTTAAATAGTTATACGCTAATTTTAAAATTCTTGAAGACACTATAGAAATTTGAAGGTATCCCTGTTGCTTCAAATAGAGCCAGTGATTTACCTAGAAAAAAACATAGTGTAGTTAAGATTATCCATTTATCAATTCTTAATTCTCAGTATGTTTTCTGTTTTGGTATGATTTTTTTAAGTTTCTTTATTATTTATTTTGAGAGAGAGAGAGTGGGAGAGAACGGTGGGGCAGAGAGAGAGAATTCCAAGCAGGCTCTGTTAACACAAAACTTGTGAACCATGAGCTCATGACCTGAGCTAAAATCAAGAGTCGGATGCTTAACCAACTGAGCCACCAGGTGTCCCTGGGTATTATTATTATTTTTTAATAGGACAATTTTACTAGAGATCTAGAAAGATTATAATAAAATGGTTTTACTGACTAGTTTGTTTTTATCCATCCCAAGGATAAATATAAGTGTTTGGAAGTTTATCTGATAACATATAGTAATCTCAGTGATGTTACCTTTTATACCATTGTTGTATGCTACTTATTGGATGAGATAGTCTCCATACACTTCAGAGAGTACCTTATCCAATCAGGAGCATACAACAGTGATTTATAAAAGTACACATTACCCAGCCTGTGACCTTTTTTGAGGATTTTTAAAGTATTGTTGACACATTTTTTTCTATAAAATTGTGGCAACTTTCCTTGTAATTTTTAGGATAAATAATAGCATGTTTGTTTCTTTTCTAACTTCTGTAAGAAAGATAAATATCTCCCACTAGTTTCTTTATTGGGATATTTTGATGGAATGTTTTTTAAATGTCTTTAAATTCTGAGATTAATGGTGCTAAATATGATTTGTTTTTCTTTCTCAGATTAAAAATCATTTTTCAATTCCACTTTCTGTTTATGAAGGGGACACTTTATTGGGAACAGCTTCACCTGGAAGTGAATTCAACATACCATTAACATCTTACCGGTGATTTTTGTTTTCTTTTTTATTTGCTCTAAGGTGCCATGGAATTTTTAGTTTCTGATTTGGTAGGGATATCTGTCTTTAAGTGATTAAAGTTTAATCAAATCTGTTCTGTTAATAATTTGTCTACCTTATTTAAGTTTCAGGGTGCTTAAAAGGTGTTATAAATTTTTTTAAAGGAAAATGTAATGTGTTTAATTTACACCATGTAAATTACTTACGCTTTTACTAGTAAATACATTTATTACATGCTTACAGTATAGCCATCATAACCATATCATTTTTTCATGATTTTTACAAAATGATGAGTTGAGCACGATTGGTAGCTTCTAGATTTAAATATACTATTATGAAGAGATTTTTACCTTTGAAATGTTTTAGAATAGAATTTTTAAAAAATCCTTTTAGAAACATATAAAATATTTCATCTTTTTACCTATGTATTGTTCAGTGGTAGAATTATAGTATAAATTGTGATATGCGGTACATTGATCTTAAATATTAAAAATTAGATTAAACCTGATACAAAGTTTTATAGGTAAAAATTCTTACAGGATGCTGATGATGTATTAGTCTTAGAATTTTAAGGTTAATATCATAACAGACAGATATTCAGCATATTTATATAATCAGGAATTAAAAAAATAATCTCTTTTAGGGATATTGAACTCTCTGGGAAAGTAGAACTTTCCTGAGAATAATCATCGTGGTTGGTCTAAGAACCATTTCAGAACACATGCTAGCCCTGGACCCCGACCTGCATTGGAGGGTGGAGGCAAAACTACAAGCAGTGCCAAAACACGCTCTTCCTCTAGTCCTTCTGATCCATGCCAAGTTCACTATTGACTCCCTAATGCTTAGAAAGCAATCTAGCAGGTTTAGGCACATATTTTCAGTTAGTAGACCTGCTACTAAAAAGTATTTTATTGCTTACACCTTCAGCCCTAATGAGCCTTTTATTGCTTAGTTCAGACTTGCTGAGGGCAAGAATTCTCTTGTTGAGAGAACAACAAAATGGTTGTTCATAGTATCTGACCTTATTCTAGGAAAGATTTTGGGTGGGTTAGGAAACTAAAGATAGCATGTAGGATATGTTTAAAAATTTCTGTAAAAAGTTTCAACTCCTTTTGTCCTTGAATGAGAAAAGGTAATGGCATTCTGCTTTATTTTTAATAAATGATTGCTGTATATTTTGTGACTCTGTCCATAAAAAGTGTTTTAGAGTATTTTTACACTTTCTGGTTCAGGGGTAAAATAGTAACTTGTCAAATGGAAATTAATTAATCTTAATTAAAATTATTAGTGATGAACCAGCTTGTATTTCACATTAGGTATTTGTCTAATCTAATTCTGAGATGTACACTTACATTTAAGGTTTGAGGTCTTATATTTAACAAAGGTACACTTACATTTAAGTTATGAGGTCTTTAACAAATGGCTACCTCTCCCTGGAGAATTTAAATATACTGATTCTTTAATTCATTTAAAAAATGTCAAGTGTTTTGCTGTGTATAAGGCACTGGTGTGGAATGCTACGATGAGTTGGGCATTGCTACTACCCTTGAGAGATTGATACATTATGTAAATACAGAAGGAAGCAAACAGTGGGTTGTAGAGATACAGAACAGTTAAGAGTTGCAGAAAACTACAGAAAACAAAGAAGGTCTTAATGATGGACTCCTGGGCGAGATACATGCACTAAAGATAAAATATAATTACAGATTAGCAGGAAAGGGCAGTGTTAAGTGGGAGGAATTGGGTGAATAAAAGTAAGGAGGCCTGAAAGCACAGAGTTTGTAAGTGACTATAAGGAATAGTTGGGAGTTGATTGTCCTATACGTGTTGTAATGTAACATTTGAAACATAGTTTAAGTTTACATTGAGGTACTTGCTCCCTGATTTATATAAATTTTATCTTAATCTTTTTTTTTTTTTTTTTAAGTTTATTTATTTTGAGAGGGAGAGACAGAATCCCAAGCAGGCTCCGTGCCATCAGCGCAGAGGCGATGCAGGGCTCATAGTCACAAATTGTGAGATCATGACCTGAGCCGAGTTCAGGAGTCAGACGTTTGACCAACTGAGCCACCCAGGCGCCCCATCTTTATCTTTCATGTCATCTTTTTCTTCCCTCTTCTCTTAGAACATCTGGTACCTTATGTTTCAAGATCTTTCACCCCATCAGCTTTTCTCATTCAGAACCTCTCACCATTGATCATCTTTCTCTGGTGTTTTCTTCCTATTCATTTCTTAAACTTTGCTTTAACCTTGCATGTTTCTCCAGTTCAAGTCTTTTCTTCGGAACAAAGCGTTTTGGCAAAATTTTCACCTCTGGAAAATGCTCTGCAACTGTCTAGAAAGACTTAACCACACTCGCATGCCCTCAGTCTGCTGTGTACATATGGTTTTTGTACCTATCACAATGCAGTAGTTTTCTTTTAACATGACATCCCCCACCTGATTGGGATCTCTTAAGAATAAAGAATGACTTATTCATTTGTTTATTTCCAGTTTTACCGTCTTGTAAATAATAGGTCCAATAAAGGTTTTGATAATCCAGATGACTTTATTGGCATTAGTTTAACTTAGAGAAAATTAAAGTTTTTATTTTTAAGTATTAAAAGACTAGAAAAGAGAATGAAAGTCATAGAGAATGTAGAAATAAAACAGGTTAAATCTGAGAATGGGCTTGACAGATCATTAGATTTATGTGTATGTCAAAGAAGATGGAAAAGTCTAGTATTTTATAGTCCAGAGTGCTAGTAGTTAGAAGTTCCTTGAAAGGAACACACTGAGAAGTGGCATGGACAGTTTAGGGTTCAATCTAGCAAATTTAAGTCATCATCAGACATCATTACAGAAGGGTGTGCTGGGTATTTAAAACTACAGGACTGGAGTTTCAGACAATCTGGTTTGGAGATAGTATGGACAAGTTGTTCATCTGCAAGGGATAGTGTCAAATTATAGGTGATTGGTTTTAGAAGTACAAAAATATTTAAGTGTTTATATTTGGGCATTTGAAAAATGATGAAACCTAAAGTATAGTTCAAATGTAAACAGAATGTGACGTTTATAAAGATTAATCATATGATTTTCTTGCAACCACTTTTGCAACTATGCCCAGTGTTTCAGCAATTACGTATCTATTTGAAAGCTTTCATGTGATTAACATTGAAAAGGTAGTGATTTAATTTTAACTGTAGAGTCAGCGCAGAGCCTGATGTGGGACTCAAGCTCAAGAAACTGAGATCATGAGCTGAGCCAAAATGAAGAGTCAGACTCTTAATCACCTGAGCCACCCAGGTACCCTGAAAAATATTCTCCTCTTAAGAGCCAATTAATTTGATTAGTTTCAGAAAGTTATGAAAACATCCATTCATTGGTCTATCTTACCTATCTCTAAGAAGAATGGGAAATATAAAAATTTATTACAAGAGCAGGGAGTGATGTAATTTTATTGTTCCTAAGTAGTAATCACTTAATTTTTTTTCTTTTAAAGCATTTTAAAGTATACTGTTTAATCCTTTACACAGATCACCTCTTTCTCTGAAGCCAGAAGATGAGGACTATGAAGTGTGTGAAAGAATTGACTTTGAAGAAATTATAAAAAATGAAGGCACTCTTCTAAAGAAGATATGTAGATCTATAAACGCTGCTAAGAAACCATTTATTATTAATGTTGTCCCAGAAAAAGATAATTTGGCATCTCTCTCCGTGTATTCAGAAGATGGTTGGGACTTACCATACATAATGCATTTGTGGCCGCCTATCCTCCTCCGAAATCTTCTTCCTTACAAAATTGCTTATTATATAGAGGTATTCTAGAGTTTTTTTTAATGCCTTCCTGTCTTTGATTTTGTAGCTTTGGTTATTTAACATTATGAGCAACAAAACAATGTTTAAATGTTCTCATACGAATTAATAGCACTGGTGAATGGGCAGTCCAGCTGTCCTTCAAATGGAAAAGAAATGCTTCAATCATATTGTATAAAAAGAGGGCTTTTGCCATGATTTACCTTAGAAATATGGCTGCTAAATTGAATATGTTACGTGCACAAATGTGATATACCATTCTCTTAAAAAATTAAAATTATTTATGAAAATAGTATATATATATATACACACACACACACTAGAAAATTCAGAAAAAAAGAGATAATAAAAACTGCCTGTAATCACATCATCTGAAAGTAGTGGTTCAGGTGAAGATAATCATTTCAGGTTTAGAATATAGGCATACCTCACTTTATCACACTTCTTAGAGAAACCATTTTTTTACAAATTTCAGGTTCATGGCAACCCTATGTCAAGCAAGTCTTTTGACTCCATTTTTCCCACAATATTTGCTCACTTCATATCTTTTTGCCACATTTGGTAACTCTTGTAATATTTCAGACTTGTCATTATTAATTGTTATGATCTATAATCAGTGATAATGACTTGCTGGAAGCTGAAATGATGGCTAATGTTTTTAGCAATAAAGCATTAAAGTGTGTACATGGTTTTCTGGACATGATGCTATTGCATACTTAATAAACTATGGTATAGTGTAAACATAACTTTTATATGCATTGGGAAACCAAGAAATTTATTTGACATGCTCTGTTGTGGTATTTGGTTTATTGTTGTGGTCTGGAACTGAACTTGCATTATCTCTGAGGTATGCCTGTGTATATATATTTAATCTTTTTCTTTGATGTGTATCTCATTTATTATGTTTAAAAGATGGACACTAACTTTTGAAACAAGTGTGAGAATTCATCTTAAAATATTAGACAAATGGAAACAACAGCCTACATTATATTATTCTCATGCTAGTGTTTTTAAACTTTTTTTTATGTTTTTATTGTTGAGAGAGTGCATGCACACACGTACGTGTGCACTAATGTGAGTGGGGGAGGGGCAGAGAGGGAGGGAGGCGCAGAATCTCTCAGGCTCTAGGCTCTGAGCTATTGGCGCAGAACTCCATGAGGGGCTTGAAATCATGGACCGGGAGATCATGACCTGAGCAGGAGTTGGATGTTTAACCAGCTGAGCCACTCAGGCACCCCTCTTATGTTTGTTTTCTAAAAAGAATATTATGCTCTATAAAGATGCTTTTTCTTTTAAGTACTTTTTATTTTAACAGATTACATCTGATTCTTTTGTTATAACAGGGATCTTTCCATCTTTTTTTTTTAATATGAAATTTATTGTCAAATTGTTTTCCATACAACACCCAGAGCTCATCCCAACAGGTGCCCTCCTCAATACCTATCACCTACTCCTCCCTCCCTCCCACTCTCCATCAGCCCTCAGTTTGTTCTCAGTTTTTAAGAGTCTCTTGTGTTTTGGCTCCCTCCCTCTCTAACCTTTTTTTTTTTTCCTTTCCCCTCCCCCATGGTCTTCTGTTAAGTTTCTCAGGATCCACGTAAGAGTGAAAACTTATGGTATCTGTCTTTCTCTGTATGACTTATTTCACTTAGCATCACACTCTCCAGTTCCATCCACATTGCTACAAAAGGCCATATTTCATTCTTTCTCATTGCCACGTAGTATTCCGTTGTGTATATAAACCACAATTTCTTTATCCATTCATCAGTCGATGGACATTTACGCTCTTGCCATAATTTGGCTGTTGTTGAAAGTGCTGCTATAAACATTGGGGTACAAGTGCCCCTATGCATCAGCACTCCTGTATCCCTTAGGTAAATTCCTAGCAGTGCTATTGCTGGGTCATAGGGTAGATCTATTTTTAAATTTTGAGGAACCTCCACACTGTTTTCCACAGTGGCTGCACCAGTTTGCATTTTCACCAACAGTGTAGTTTTTAAGTAAACATTCTATTTGCCATGCTATCAAATATAAGAAGATAGCTCTTTACTGTAGTCTAGTGATTATTTTTGTAGTGGTCTATTAATAATTTTTGGGATTTACTATATGTTTATACTTGTCTGATAAATTGGGGGGGGCAGAGTTAACAGATCTGTGGTTTAAGGATATCTTTTCCATATGGTTGGCAGATACTATAGTGGTTAACAATTTGTACTTTGCTGTCAGATAGATTTGAGATTGAATCCTACCTCTTTCATTTACAAGCTTTATGTCTTTAAGCAAGTTGTATTATCTTTTTATATCATTTGTCCTAGTCCATAAAGTAGGGATATTAATAAAACTTGTGTAACGGGTATATGGGAAAATGAAATTAGATAATGCTTGTAAAAGATTTAGCATAATGCCTGACAGGACTATGGTTGCAATTTATTTACCTCTCTCACATCACCACCAACCATTACTGTTCTTATTTTGTGGAATATTAACTAAGATGTCAGACATGAGTAATTTGCATTAGCTTTGCTTTAAGTAATTAAAAATCTTTGGGGCGCCTGGGTGGCGCAGTCGGTTAAGCGTCCGGCTTCAGCCAGGTCACGATCTCGCGGTCCGGGAGTTCGAGCCCCGCGTCAGGCTCTGGGCTGATGGCTCAGAGCCTGGAGCCTGTTTCCAATTCTGTGTCTCCCTCTCTGTCTGCCCCTCCCCCGTTGATGCTCTGTCTCTCTCTGTCCCCAAAATAAATAAACGTTGAAAAAAAAAATTAAAAAAAAAAATCTTTAAGAGATTCCTTTGTTATCACAACACTAAGGAATCAGGTTAGAGATGATGGAAAAACTGGTGATGAACTATCTATGTGTGTTCCATTCTCAAAGACTTTTAATTTGGTACTTTTGGGGATCACATTTTGTTTGCTAGTTTCCAAAGGATATGATAAATTTTTAAAAAGAGAATTTAGCTGTGGTATGGAGGGAGGATTACAAGGGACAAGAACGGTTAAGAGACTAAAGCGAGAGACATGAACTAATAAGGTCATGGAAGGGTGGACAGAGAGAAATGAACAGTTTTGAGACGTAAAGTGTAGTATAAACAGTGATTGGAAATGGGTGATGAGGGATTGTTAAAAAGCAGAAATAGAAATTAGTTAGGATTACTTATTTTGGATTACTATCATTTTTTTTTCATTTTTCATTATTTTGTAGTTTTCAAAACTACAATCACTAGTGGATAAGATTTTTTTTAATGTTTTACTCATTATAGTGCTTTATAATGTTTATTTCAGCATAGTTTTTCATGATGTTATTTAATTTTATCCTCATAGTTCTTTGAAGTGGAGGGTTTAGACCATTTTATAAATATGATAATTCAAGTCTCAGATTAAATAATTTATAGAAGCTTACACATTTGGCAGAGTTAGAAGTCAAATATAAGTCTTCTGACCTGTTCTGACAGAGGTATTTCAGAAGCATTATGTGTATGCTATTTGCAATCATTAAAGAGAGGTTTTTGGCATATTATTCTGACACATTTAAAATTTTACTGTATTTTTTTTATTACAGGGGATTGAACACAGAGTTTATACTCTAAATGAAGGACAGTCAGCCCATATTTGTACTGCGCAGTTGGATAAAGCCAGACTACATTTAAAATTACTTGACTATCTTAATCATGATTGGAAAAGTGAATATTGTATAAAACCTAATCAGCAAGATATTAGTTTCATCAATTTCACCTGTGTTACAGAAATAGAAAAGACTGATTTAGATATTGCTATCCATGTAACTTATAATATTGGCCAGACCATTGTGGCGTTTCATAGTCCTTATTGGATGGTCAATAAAACTGGTCGAATGTTACAGTATAAAGCAGATGGAATTCATCGAAAGCATCCACCTAATTACAAAAAGCCTGTTCTTTTTTCTTTTCAACCAAAGCATTTTTTTAATAACAATAAGGTATGTAAGATTTTTTAAACTTTCATTTTTCTTCAGCTATTTATCACTCCTTTTTAAAGTTTTGAAAAACATTATGAAACAGGTTAGAAATAACATTTATATGTTTGAGGTTAAAATGTTAGATTTTAGTATGCGGAAACGTTTAGTGCGTTAACGTAATATTTATGCTAACAAGCAAAAAATTTATCAATTTACATAGGAATTTTTAAAGATATCTAAATTGTAATGTATTTGGAAATTTTTTTCTAGGTTCAGCTTATGGTAACTGATAGTGAATTGTCAGATCAGTTTTCAATTGATACTGTTGGGAGTCATGGAGCTGTTAAATGTAAAGGCCTGAAAATGGAGTATCAAGTGAGTTCATTCTTTGCTCCTCAAGAAACTTGTATTTAAATTATATCTATCAAATACTTATTTTTATTAGGATGTTGTGGTAATGTAACAGTTTTTGAAATGTTGTTTTTTCCCTTTAGGTTGGTGTCACTATAGACCTCAGCAGTTTTAACATTACCAGAATTGTGACTTTTACCCCTTTTTATATGATTGAAAACAAAAGCAAATACCATATATCGGTGGCTGAAGAGGGAAATGATAAATGGCTCTCTCTTGATTTAGAGCAGGTGGGTAGATGAATGTCAAAAATGTACCTCTTTGGATTTTGAGTTTTACTTGAAGTTAAATACCTGAAACCACTCTGTAAGTTTTTAATTTGCCCCCCACACTCCATTTTATTTGTACCAGGCTCTAGATACTTAATTTTTAAAAACCAAACCTTGTCATTTAGCAATGTATTGCTTGATAAGGGAAGTAGATATTTAACAACTAGTAACCAAACAGTGAAAACACACAGAAGAAGACTAGATAAAGTATAAATGCAGTAAAAAGTAGGAAATGATTTGTTCTTTCCATAAAGCTGTTAAGAATGCCTTTATAGAGTAAGCTAAGCCAGTTATTTTAAGAAGACGGTAGTGACTTAGGAGTGAAATTTTTATTCGGTTCCACGTTTAGCTATTAGACCTCTGCATAAAAGCTTTGTAAAAAGACTGCCTGATGGAATATTTTGCTTTTGAAGAAATTTTATTGTAAATCTGTTACGATTTAAGAGACATTATTTGCTGTTTTTATTCACTGTGCCTTTTTGCTTTCAAACCATCTTGATGGGACCATTCTTCCTGACATATGTTCTGTAGATTTTCCTTTAGAGCTTGTTTTGGAGCTAATGCCATTAGTTTGTGTTTATCCATAAAAATTTTTACCATCGTCTTTTATGATAATTTCTCTTGCTAATGAATTCTATTTTTTCTCAACATATCTAGATTTTACTCCACCATTTTCTGGCTTCCACTATAGTTGAAAGTTCTGCTGTGATTCTGTTATTCCTTTGGAGGTTATTTTTCTTCCCAGTTGCCTTCATGATCTTTGTCTTTGCTGTTTTGCTGTCATACTACCATTTGTCCATGTGTGGGCTCCGTTTATATGTCCTGCTTGAGATGCTTTCCTCTGAGATTTGTAGATCTATTTCGTACTTGCTGTAAAATTTGCAACTGTTTTCTATTTAAATACTGCATCTCCTTTGTTTTTCCATTGGTTTCTTCTTGGCCTTTAATCAGTATGTTCTAGACTTCCTTATTCTCTCTTCCACATCTCTTTATATATATATTTTTTTCTATTTTCCTTCTATGTATTTCTCTTTGCTGCATTCTAGATAAATTCTAAATGTATAGCTTTAATAACTTTTTACTTTTCCTGTGTCTAAACTGCTATTTAAGTTTTCAGGTTTTTATTTGCATAATTATGTTTCTTTGAGCAGTTGCACTTTTTTTGAAGTCTGCCTGTTCATTCATTAATGAATATCTGTGTGTATTTCTCATGTGCCTTGTGATACATCTGTTAACAGAACCACAAGTCCCTGTGTTTGTGTAGTTTACATTTCACTGGGGGTATGTAGAAACATTAATAATGGTATAATCAATCAGTAAAATATATAGTATGTTTAAAGGTGAAAAGTCTAATCAGGGAAAAGAAAATAAGACAGAGCATAAGACAGGAAGTATTATTAAGAGTTCTAACACACACAGTGGGCTATAGTTTTATATAAGGTGGTCAAGGGATAGGACTCATTGAGGTCATATTTGAATTGACATGTAGGCAGTGTGGGAGGTAGCAGTTGCCAAGAGCTCAGCTGAGCTGCCGGGTGTTGGAGCAGCTGGAGGACAGCAAGCCAAACTGAGAATGACTGTCAAGCCCTTAGTCACTTCCTCCCATAGTGTAAGCAAGAGGCTAACCTGGAGAAAGTGCCCACTCTCGCCCTTCCACTTTCCGTGTGGAGCAGCATTGGTCAGGGTTCAGGTGGATCAGCACAGACTTTGGGGTCACGTGGCTGTCAAGGGAGCCTGGAACAAAAGGCTCTTACACTTTTATGGACTTAGAGGATGAGCCATGACAAGGGGGGAAGAGCTAAGAGTAGAAAAGTACTGAACACTGAGAGGAGAGAGACAGCCTCTGCAGGCTTCCCCCTCTGTCCTTGATAGAGAGGTCTTGGAGGGAGGTCCTCAAAAAGGCCTCTGCCACAGGCCATATAAAGAGGCCTCTGAATAAAGGGAACTTAGGTGGGAATTCCGACACGTGTAAGTGCATGACTGGAGGTGAGGGCTGGGTCCTTGATACTGCTGTATGCTGACTGTGCTCTACTCAGCCAAGAGGAGGGCGGTGTAGCCCTGCCAGATGAGGCCTTTGTAATTGCCTATGGTGTGTCCTGCAAAATTGCACCTAGGTTTTTGGCCAGGAACTGAAATCCTCAGCCATGTGGGTATCTTGGGAAAGAGCATTAGAGACAGAAGGATCAGCCAGGGAAGATGCCCTAAAGTGGAAGGATTTTTGGCATATTTGAGGAGTAGCAAAAGAGGCCAATATTACTGGAGAGGGGGAAGTAGTGGAGAACAAGGTGTAACAGGAGTGAAGAGCAATCATGGAGGGTTTCTTGAGCCATTCCAAAGGTTTTAGCTTTTGCTCTGAGTGAAATGAAGAGCAGTTAGCAGGTTCCGAGCAGTGATCAGTGATTACCAGCTCTTGCCAAATATTTGTTGAATGAATATATGATGTATTTTTGCAGATGTTTCACATGTGCTCATGAAGTCTAAGGTTCTTGATTTGTTGGATGTAGAGTCCTTCTGTCTAGATGCTAAGATGACCAACTCCAGATTTGTTGTCCTTTAGATGTTTTCTAGGTGTAGCTTCTTATGTAGTTTTACTTACAGCAGTTCTGTGTCTTGATTTGTGTGTCTGTTGCAGAAAACATCGTTGGGTCTTAGCTTTTTTAAAAACCTAACTTTTACACCCTCTGTCTTTGTTCAGTTTATGTTTACATTAATTGCAATTACAACTGCCTAACTTTTTATTTTACTTTGTTTCTTTTTTGTAATGTTTATTCATTTTTTGAGGGGGGGGGCAGAGAGAGAGGGAGGCCGAGGATCCGAAGCAGCCTCTACACTGACGGTGGCAAGCCGACGAGGGGCTGGAGCTCACAAACCATGAGATCATGACCTGAGTTGAAGTTGGATGCTCAGTTGACTGAGCTACCCAGGTGCCCCCTTTCAGTTTCTTTTTGTTTTCAATTTCAGCTTTTCTTGAGATAAATTTTCTTTTGTTAGTTTAAATTTTTTACATCATAATTATGGCCTAAAGTGGTCAACCTTAAGATGCATGCTCATGGTTATTACCTATGTTGATTTGTTAAACTTACTTAGATCACTGTTTTCCTACTACAAAAGACAAGTGCATTAGCACTTGCTCTAATCTCAAGATTTTGAGCACATAACTCTTTAAAAAGATGCGGTGTTTATTTGTAAACATAAAGCATACATTTTTAAGCCAAGTCTACCAGAAAATAGGCTTGAGGATATTCAGATTGCATCATTTTTTGTCTTCTCCGTTCCTCATGGGAAATATGCTTCGGTGAAGTATTGCTGCTCTTTTGACTCTCCTATGTAAGTTCCTGCTAGGTTGCAAAAGCCCTGGGTGGTAACATTCTAAGCCTCTTACAGCCTTAATCCTGTCTCATGTCTAGTTCCATTAATTAACTCTTAGGGTTGAATAAAATGGACTTACCAAGCTAATGCACTTGGCTTTAACATCCCGGTTCTCCTGCTTTGCTGCAAGTCATGTCATGATGATGAGTGTGACACATGAACAGTCTCATTGAAATGTGTGAAGTCATCAGTCTGGTTAGGGCTTATCACAGAAGGACAGGGTTTACAGAACAGTTGAGACAGTGCTGGCTCTCCTTGTCTGTCCTCCAGCTCTTTTGTTTCTGCTCATGTTGTCTGGTCTTCTCTCACGGTACTTTGCCTCTTGTTTGTTTTTAGTTTGGATTCCAGATCGCTGATGCCCCTGTTATTCCTTAAGATTTTGAGCCTATTTCCTAATGTAAACCTCCGATAACCCTTTTACTTTTGTACTCTTATTTGACTTCCAGGACTTTGGATTCATACATGACGTGATTCACCCTTTGTGTGTACTTTGGCTACTGCTTAATTACCAAATGGTGTGCACAACCTGATTATGACTTTTAGGAACTGAATGTACCCTTTGTTTTAAGCCAATCACTTGCTTCTCAGGTTAGCTTACATGCTGACTTTTCAACCCTCCTCTGGATCTCTGGACCACATTGAAGCCCCTTTGCCAACCCTCCACTTACCATACGTCTTCAACTTAGCACCCTTCACTGCTTGTATCCACAGTGCCCAGAGGTGGTGACCCGTCTCTAAGCTGGCAGTTGATGGCTGTTTAGCCGAGCAACGCAACAGCCAGAGCATTGTGGAAAGAGATTTAAGTTTATTCTGATAGGTTTATTAAAATGATGAAATCTTTATTATGAAACCTTTTTAAGAAAAATAAATGTTTGTAATATATGTTTTAGTGTATTCCCTTTTGGCCTGAGGATGCTTCTAATGCACTGCTTGTTCAAGTTGAAAGAAATCAAGGCCCTCCCAAAAAGATACATTTTAACAAGCAAGAAAATTGTATTTTATTGCGTCTGGATGATGAGGTGGGTGGTGTGTGTGTGCACATGTGTGTGTGATTAGAGAAGCTATTATATACTTACTAGTAATTTTATTTGTCTGATTTTTTTTCCCTTTCACCAAAATGAACAAACATTGCTTTTTTGTAAAAGGATAAAGTACTAAAAGGAAACGGAGACATAAAACAATTTAATTGTTAAGCCGGAAGTTAGAGTGCCCAGAATGCTATAATGTACCACATCTGGAATTTGACCCATCTGTACATACTGATGTACTGATGGTTCCTGGTTTCCCACACATGCAGTAGAGAATCCTGAACTGCTTTCTTAATCATCAGAAGTGTATTAAGTTATGACTAGTCTTATTAAACATTATTGGTTAATATTCTTTGGAAAATGGTCACATAAGAGAATATTTTCTTTTTTCTTTTGCTAGCTTGGAGGTGTTATAGCAGAGGTTAATTTGGCTGAACATTCTACAGTTATTAGATTTTCAGATTATCATGATGGAGCAGCTACATTCCTGTTAATAAATCACACCAAGAGTGACATTGTTCAGTACAACCAAAGGTAAGAAGATTATCACACAGTGACTTTATGATGATTTCTTAACAACATAGCACTGATAATGCCATTACAGCTATGTAAAACAATGTTCTCATTTTTTAAAAAAAGGTATACTGGCATATAAAGGGGTAAAACTGACATAATATCTATAATTTACTTTTTTTTAATTGTGGTGTAATTGACCTATACACGATACTAGTTTCAGGAACACAACATCATGATACAGTATTTGTATATGTACAAATGAGTCTAGCTAACACCCATCACCACATGGAGTTACAAATTCTTTTTCTTCTGATGAGATTTACTTCTTCTGATTTCTTCTCCTGATAAGATTTACTCTCTTCTCAACTTTCAAAGATACAATGCAGTATTACTAACTATAGTCTCCATGCTGTGCAGTCCATCCCATGACCTGTGTTACCACTGGGAAGTTGGCATCTTTTGACCACCTTCACCTACTTTATCCACACCCTATCCCCACCCCTAACAGCCACCACTCTTTTCTTTTTATCTACACGTTTATATTTTTCTGTTGTTTAATGGTTGTGTTTTTGGCTTTTTAGATCCCTTACGTAAATGAATACAGTATTTGTCTTTCTCTGAGGTATTTCACCTAACATCATGCCCTCGAGGTTGTCACAAATGGCAAGATTTCCTCCTTCTTTGTGGATGAATAATAATCTTTTGTATTTATACACCATAGTTTCTCTATCCATCGATGGACACACATTGTTTTCATGTCTTGGCTATTGTAAATAATGTTGTGGTGACATGGGGATGCCTGTATCTTCTTGAATTAGTGTTTTTATTTCCTTTGGATAAATACCCAGAAGTGGAATAGCTAGATCTTATTATATAGTTATATTTTCAATTTTTTCAGGAACCTTCATACTATTTTCCACAGCGGCTGCACCAATTTACATTCCCACCAGCAGTACAGTAGTGTTCTTTTCTCCACATCATCAGCAGCACTTAATTTCTTTTCTTGTGTTTTTGATAATAGCCATTCTAATAGGTGTGAGGTGACAGCTCACTGTGGCTTTGATTTGCATTTCTCTGATGATTAGTGGCATAAATTACTTTCAAATGCTTCAAAAAAAGAAAAATGTAAGAACTGAAGCAAATATGGCAAATTTGGTCATTGTAGAATCTGGCGAAGAAATGTCAGGGTTTAATCACAAGAACTTGGTTTTTCACATTTTTCTTATTTTTAATGAACATAATGTGAATATTGAAATGTCTGATTTTTGCAAACAGTAGATACCTTCTTCTTGCTGACGGGTGTGGGAAGGGACTGGTACATTTCTAAGCTTCTTAAAGACTAGATTTAAATCTTGGTTTTCCAAGACTACTCTTAGTATCATTTGTTTCAATTTGCTGTTTGTTTCTCTTACTGGTCCCAGGCTCTCAAATTCATTTTGTCTGCTTTTTCGTTTTCAGCTGTCACTTGTCAGTGGGCCCATATTTGAGTTCACTTATGCTTTCCTTCCATTGCTTAAATGTATGCTTCTAACCACTGATTAAATCAAATAAACATGGAGTCTAGAGCCCAAGACTGGACTGGCAAATATCTAGAACTCCTCCTACCCTATCAGTTCTCTCATTTGCGGAAGAAGTTGAGAGGAACCCTGTTTTTTTATGATTATCCACATTATTAAAAAAAAATATTTGATCAAAGCTGACAAAAAGAAATAGAAACAATTTCTCATTTGCCCTCCAATCCGTGTACCCTCAAGTAGCCTTGCCCATACAGTGTTAATAGAATTAAAATCTACAGAGAATGACTTGAGTATCTCCTTTATCCATTCAAGGATGGTGTATGTCTGGTAACATTCTAGATCCATACACAGGAGCAAAGTTAGTAATTCCTTACGTGCTGTGAACGATCTAGGGCATCATAGTTTAATTCTCTGACAACTGGTTGAGTCTGGCTGAAGCTGAATAGAGACTTCTCAGGCTTGTCCTGTGGCTTTGCCCTTGCAATTATCTCTATCCAGTTGAGATATAAAGTGTTTAGAAATCTTATCTACTGCACTGTTGTAATTATAAAAGTAAGTGATCCTATATTGAAATTCTGATAGCTAAAAAAACTGCAGTCTTCATGGAAATTTATGAAATTAATAATCTGCAGTAATGAACACTGGATTTAAACTTAGAATTATTTGAAGTAGTTATTAAATCAAGAACCTCAGACTTTGGTTTAATATTGAATCCAGAGTCCTGTGTGCCAGTGATCCCCAAATCTTTACTCCAACATAGACTTCTCTTCAGCTTCAGGCTGCCACCTCCTCCTAGTTATCAAATAACTAATAGTTCTAATAGTCTCATAATTAATAGTAGCACGTAATTAATAAATCACATAGTTAAGCTATTTTTTAAAGATCTCCTCTTGTCTAATCTTTCCCTTGATTATCCTAGCTCAGCCTCCCCACATTTCTTATTCAAGTAGATTTTTGTTATCTGCATCTCTGTAGCCTTGTCCCTACTAAACCCTCATTTGCCACCAGAGGTAGGTTTCCAAAAATACTAAATATAATCCTGTCTCTCTTGTTTAAAGTTTTTTAGTGACTTACCATATCTTTTACAGTAAAATTTGTTTCGAGGCTACCTTTCTAAACATTTCTCTTTCCCTATATTTAGGACCAGTTGAAGTCTTTGTTTCCTGAATCCCCTGGGTCCTTTCCATAGGTTTTCACCTTTTTGGTACTCCTTTCTGCTAGAAAAACTCTCACTGCTGGTGATCTCTTCCCTCACTACCTTAATCTGTACACCCAGTTTTTTGTTTGTTTGTTTGTTTTAATTTTTTTTAATGTTTATTTGTTTTTTGAGAGAGAGTTCACAAGCAAGGGAGGGGCAGAGAGAGAGGGAGACACAGAATCTGACATGTAGTCTCCAGGCTCTGAGCTGTCAGCACAGAGCCCCATGCGGGGCTCCAACCCACAAGCCAGGAGATCATGACCTGGGCCAAAGTCGGATGCTTAACCAACTGAGGCACCCAAGTGCTTCTCTGCACCCAGTTTTCAATTTTACCTTTACATATGTAGATTAAAGCATTCGTCACATTGCATTGTCTTGTGAGTTTAAAACTGTGTGCCTGTGCATGTGTAGTTAACATTCTGAGGACTGTGGTTACTTTATTTTCTTTGAATTACAATTTCCTATCTAAGGTAAATTTGAGATGAAGTTTTTTGTAAAGAATATTCTTCAGTGAGTTAAACAGATTAAAATTTGTATGAATTAAAAGCATTTCTAAATATTTTAAACTAAGTTTATCCTGTTTACATTTACATTTGATTTTTTTTTCATGGAATAAACAAAAACTATAAGACTTGTCTCCTCTGCTTTTCCTCTCTTGGCTTTGCTGTTTGTTGTTACTACTATGGTGGTTTCCTGCATATAAAAATTATAACGGTCAATTTTTTTAATTCCATAGAAAAATTGTGAAAAGAAAACCATAATCCTGAAATCCCAACACTGTCAACATTTTGATGCATTTCTTTACACATTATTTTACTGTGTATCTGTGTATTTATTATCTGTGTATTTCTGCATCTCTTGTTTTTATTAGCATTGTGAGCATGTAAGTTTGCTTTAAAACACCATTTTTAATGCACAATATTCCATCATTTAGATGCACTATAACTAAATACTCTTTTACTGAGAATTTTGGTTATTGTCTAATTTTATAATTTTTTAATAAAGATCTTTAACCCATTTGTAGTCCTTTTTTAAATTTTTTTTTTAATGTTTATTTATTTTTGAGACAGAGAGAGACAGAGCATGGATGGGGGAGGGTCAGAGAGAGAGGGAGACACAGAATCTGAAGCAGGCTCCAGGCTCTGAGCTGTCAGCACAGAGCCCAACGCAGGGCTCAAACCCACGGACCGTGAGATCATGACCTGAGCCGAAATCGGCCGCTTAACTGACTGAGCCACCCAGGCGCCCCTAGTCCTTCTAATAACTAAATTAAGATTCCTTGCTATTTTTTTGTTATATGGATTATTTTCTTCTCGTGATGATTTGGAAAATACATGTTTTGTTTTGTTTTTCTCTTGAAGATTTCAGTGCATTTTAAATTTTGAGAGTGAAACAATATCTTCTAATTTACCCATCAAAATATGGAATACTTTTGTATTTTCAGCTTCTCTTTCCAAATTCCCAGTTTCTTCTGCATATAATTTGGAATTTTTGACTGAAATTAATATGAAACGATTAGTTTTTTTAAAAATGTGTTTATTCAGGGCTTTTTTGGGGCATTTGACAAGTTTATTTGACTAGTTGCTTAATATTTTTACATCCCAAGTCTTTTTTTTAAGTTTTATTTAAGTATATGTATCCAATGTGGTGCTCAAACTCATGACCCTGAGATGAAGAGCCAGACAGACGCTTTTCCAAATGAGCCAGTCAGGTGCTCCTACGTCTCAATTCCCAGATTTTATTTTGAGCCATCCCTGGCTTGGTTGGAAAAAGTCTTAGAGTTAGTTTTTCAGAAAAGGTTTGCGGATAATAATGTTATGCTATTGCTTGTTCGAGAATGCCTTATTCTTGAAAATTAATGACAATTTGACATGAAATTTTAAGTCCTAACCTCTTGTCTCAAAATTGTATAGACACTGCTTCATTGTTTTCTGGCATTTACCATTAGAGAAAAATGTGAGACCAGTCTTATTTTTATTCCTTTCTGAGTAACTGTGATTTTCCTCCATGTTTATGGGCAGGTTTCCCTCTATTTTCTTAAAAATTCAACATTTTACAAAGATGTGTGGGATGATACTCTGTTTTAATTAATTTTGTGCAATGCCCAGTCATGTAACCTGCAGAATCAGCTCCTTCTTCAGCTCAGAAAAGTTATATTATGTTATTTCTTTGGTTTGTAACTTTTCCAGTTTTTTTTTTTTTCTTTCTGGGAATCATTTTGTGAGCTGATTGAATTTCTTAGAATTACATGCCATGTCATAAGATTTTTTAAAAAATAATTCAGCTGTCTTGTTTTTGCCAGAATATGACCAGTACTTAGGGAAGAGGTACCAATTAAATTCTCTCAGATTTAGTATAGGTAATAGTTGGAATAATTTTCTCCAACAGTTCATTTGTGTTAAAACAAAAGTTCACAAAGAAGGTTCAAAAACGTGAAAATCTTTATTTTCTAAGTGAGACAAATCTTTTCCTGGAATATTCTCATTATTTTCTTAGGAAACTTCTTTTTCATTGTATAAGGAAAAAATTTCAATCTGCTGTTAATCAGAACTATCACAAATCTCACTGGAGTCAGAATTATTTTGGGTTCTTTATATATTCATATATTTGCACTTAATGCATATTTTTACTATTTTTGGCAGTTCTCTCAGTGAGATAGAAGATTCCCTCCCTCCTGGAAAAGCAGTATTTTATACATGGGCTGATCCAGTGGGCTCTAGAAAGCTGAAGTGGAGATGTGGAAAAAGCCACGGTGAAGTAACACAAAAGGATGTACGTATTGGGTTGAGTATTATGGTGTTCTCAGCAGCCTTCTTTTTTGTTTTTTTGTTTGTTTTTAATTTTTTTAAAGGTATTCTCTGTCAGCCTTGCTAGTTTTAAGGACTGTTTTGTGTCTGTACTTAAACAAACTGCGAAAGATTTTAAAAGCAGCATTCAAACTTTAATGAAAAATGTTGAAGATCGGAAGGGGTCCTATTTTGTCTACATCATTATTCGCTGCTGGTATGTTATAAAAGGTAAACTGGGGTTGGGTCGGTGCTTTCAGCATTCGCCTCATGAACAGATACATTATCTGTAATGACAGTCATTTTAGGTCAGTGTGGCTTCTGTGAGCATCATTTAGGGAGGGATCCATGGAAGAATTTGTTTATGAGTGTTTTTTTTTTTTATAATGGTAACGTTATGTGTAAACATTTCCCAGTAACATTTTGAATGACTTTCAGAAATTTTTATTAAAATTTTATTACTCTTTCAAAATTCATCTTAATTTGTTTTTTTTTTTTTTTAATTTTTTTTTTCAACGTTTTTGATTTATTTTTGGGACAGAGAGAGACAGAGCATGAATGGGGGAGGGGCAGAGAGAGAGGGAGACACAGAATCGGAAACAGGCTCCAGGCTCTGAGCCATCAGCCCAGAGCCTGACGAGGGGCTCGAACTCCCGGATCGCGAGATCGTGACCTGGCTGAAGTTGGACGCTTAACCGACTGCGCCACCCAGGTGCCCCTAAAATTCATCTTAATTTGACCCCTACTCCAATGTCTTTTTTCCTAGCACTGATTATTATTTCTTATCGATGGGCCAGAGGTTATCTCACTCTCATTTTAGAGGGAAAACTGAATCATTAATCGTTTATTATAGACTTGGTTTTGCTTAATAGTCTGTATCAAATTAAGGCAGTTGCCTTCTATTCTTAGTTTATAAAAATATGTGAGTGTATGTATGAAGGAATGAGTATTGAAATTTTTTTAAAGGTTATCCATTTATTTTGAGAGAGCGCCCCCCCCCCCCCCACACACACACACTGACAAATGGGGGAGGGGCAGAGAGAAGGAGAGACAGAATCCCAAGCTGTCTCCACACCAAAAGTGCAGAGCCCAATGCAGGGCTCGAACTCATGAACTGTTGAATCATGACCTGAGCCGAGATCAAGAGTTGGATGCTCAACCAACTGAGCCACCCAGGTGCCCCATGAGTATTGAATTCTTATCAGTTGTTATGCTTTTAATTTTTTTCTTTAAAGAGATAACTGGACTTAATCATATTTGGGGGGGGATGAATTATGTGGTTATTTTTTTAAATATTAGACTAACCTTGCGTTTCTGGAATTGGCTTGCTAATGTTTTAATGTTTTACTTCTGCCTGTATTCACAAGAGAGTACTGTCTGTACTAAATTTTGATGTTAAAGTTTGCAGACATCTAAAACATGTTTGGAAGCGCATGTTTCTCAATGAATGTATGTAAGATGCGTATGCTTTGTTCCTTGAATGTTGGCTAGAATTCACCAGTGAAGCCAAGCCATCTCTGCCTGAAGTTGTTTTTGTAGGAAGGTTTTAAATTATGAATTCTCTTTTGTTACTGTATATAGGACAATCCAGTTTTCTACTTCTGCTTCTGTCATTTTAGTTAGAGGTTTTCTAAGAATGTGTTTTATTTCATCTGATTTTCTGATATATTGATTACAATATTTTTATAACACCCATTTTTTATCTTTTTTTTACAGTGATTCTTTTTAATTCTTGGTATAGATTATTTGTGCTTTAATTCCTTTTTCCTCAATAAGTTTTACTTAGGATTTATCAGTTTTATTCTTAGTTACGTTTTTTTTTAATCAGAAAACCATTGTTTTGCTCTTTTGATGATCTCTGTTGCACATTTTTGTTCATTTTCACCAATTTCTTCTCTGATCTATATTATATTCTTTCATCTTTCTTTGGTTTTAATTTGATAAATTTCTTTTAAATTCTTGGGATAGATAGCCATTAGTCTGCTCGTGCTGCCTTAACAAGGTACCTTAGACTGGGGGACTTAAACAACAGACATGTATTTCCCACAGTTCAGGAGGCTTGAGGCCCGAGATCACACTGCCAATGTGGTGAGGTTCTGGTGAAGCTGGTGAGGACTCTTCTTGGCTTGCGGATGACGACTTTCTCACTGTGTCCCGACATAGTGGAGGAGAGAATGAGTGAGCTCTCTGGTGTCTCTTATAGGGATACTAATCCTGTTGGATCAGAACCCTCACCCCTCCTTTATGATGTCATTTAACTTTACCTCTAAAAGGTCCTGTATCCAATAGAGTCACTTTGGAGGTTAGGACTTCCAATATCATGAATTTGGGGGCGGGAGGGGACACAGTTGAGTTCATAGCAGACCCCTAGATCATTGTTTTTCAGATTTTCCTGCTTTTTTTTTTGTTTTTTAAGAGAGAGCATGAGCTGGGGAGAGGTGCAGAAGGAGAGAGAGAAAGAGAGGGAGAGAATCTTAAGCACACTGAGCATGGATCCCCAAACAAATCTGGATCCCACAACATTGGGATCATGACCTGATCTGAAATCGAAGTGGGACATTGAATTGACTGAGCCACCCAGCCACCCCCCTGCCCCAGATTTTCTTCACTTCTTATATGAAGTCACTTAAAATCCCAGATTTGTCTCCAAAAACAGCATTAGTTTTATTTCACAAATTTTTATGTATTTTATATTTCCTGTCCTTTAGTTCAAAATTTCCTAAATTTCATTTATATATATTTAATATTTTGCTTCAAAAATATATTTTATATTTTGGTTTCATGGTTACTTAGGTCATTGCTTGATTTTTAAAAATATGGGAACTTGCTAATAATATCTGTTGATTTCTAACTTAATTCCACTGTGATTTGAGAACACACTCTGATTCAGTCCTCTGAAATTTATTGAGATAGATTTTGAAGACTAGCATGTAGTCAGTTTTTGTGACTATTTCATGTATATTTGAAAAGAGTATGTATTCTGTGGTTGGTTACAGTGTTCTGTATAAGTCATTTTGTTCAAGTCTATTAATTTCTAAATCTTCTAGCTCATTAGTTTGTGTGTGTGTGTTTGCTTGTACATTACTGTGGAGTTGTATTCAAAATCTTCCATGGATATATACATTTATCTTCTTGTTTTGTTAAATATGGCTGTTATATTTTGAAAGTATGTGATTAGGTTGATACAGATAAAGAATTCTTATATTTTCCTGGTAGATTGATCATTTTAGTAGTCATGCATCATTAGTATATAATATTGCAATGACTACCATTCTGTCTTTGTTAGGTTTAAACATTTAAACTTAACAAAACTATCACAGGCCACAGTTTGCAACTGCCCCACCTACTCAGAAGGATTCAGGCCAGGAGACCCAGTGTGCCAGCTGGGAGCATCAGACATTTTCCACATCAGTTTAGGAAGCATTCTCTTTGGTTGGCTCAAATGACCATTTTGTTGTGATGGAACAAGGCTCACTTGGGTATGTTATGAGCCACTTTTGACTTATAAATGCTACTCCACAATAGCGGGTATCTCTTGTAACAGACCATGAGCATAGCTTACAGGTGTTCTGCAAGGAACATACAGTTCTCATCATACTAAAAGAAACCTATAGCTTCCTATGATCTCACAACATGCGTTCTTGACTTTCTAAAACCTGCTGTAAAATAATACTTGCACCAGTTTCCCAATAACATGAGGACTTTAAAACTCTTACTTCAAGGGTGCCTGGGTGGCTCACGTGGTTAAGCGTCAGACTCTTGATCTCAGCTCAGGTCATGATCTCACAGTTCCTGAGACTCGAGCCCCGCATCAACCTCTGCACTAAGCATGGAGCCTGCTTGGAATTCTGTCTCTCCCTCTCTCTGCCCCTCCCCTCCTCACTTGCGTGCACACATTCTCTGTCTCGCTCCGTCTCTCTCTAACTCACTCACTTTAAAAAAACACAAAAACAAAAACCTCTTACTCCATTTACCTCCTGTCGTCTTACAGATTACTCTTACAGGTTTTATTTCTAAATATATGTTAAATACTGTAAGATGTATTATTAATTGCTTTTTGCAATTAATAGTCCATTTATTTATTAATTAAATATTTACTATCATTTGGGGAGAGTGCAAGCAGGGGAGGGGGAGAGAGAGGGACAAAAGATCTGAAGCAGGCTCTGTGCTGACAGGCTGACAGCGGTGAGCCCGATTTGGGACTTGAACTCCTGAACCACAACATCATGACTTGAGCCAAAGTTGGACACTCCACTGACTGAGCCACCCAGGTGCCCCGTCCAGTTATTTATTTATTTATTTAAGTTTATTTTGAGAGAGATCAAGGGAAAGAGCACGAGCAGGGGTGGGGCAGAGATAGAAAATCCCAAGCAGGCTTTGTGCCATCAATGCACAAACCATGAGATCATGACCTGAGCTGAGTTAAGGAGTTGGATGTTTAACCAACTGAGCCACCCAGGCTTCTCCCCCACTCCTTTTTTTTAAAGTTTATTTATTAACAATCCATTTAAATTAACTCATGTTTTCCTTTTTTTGATTTTTCATTCCAACCGATATCTCCATGTTTCCATTTGTGTTCATTTTTCTTCTTTTGAGTATTTTTCTAATGCAGGTCAACAGCTGACAAATTCTCTTTCAGTTTCATTTGTCTGGAAATGTCTTTATTTTGGCCCTCCCCCCCTTTTTTTTGATGGGATATTTTTCCTGGATGTCAGATTTCAAGGTTGGCCTTTCTGTTTTTTCTTCACCTAAGGACTCCAGTATTATGTAAATGTTAGACCTTTTTACCATCTCCCTTGTGATTTTCATGTTACATTGTATATTGCTTCATCCTTTTGTCTCTGACCTTCAGTATGGATATTTTTTCCAACCTATCTTTGTACTTCTCTTGCAATGTCTAGACTCTTGAAGTCATCCATTGAGTTAATTTTATTCGTTGAAATGATCAGTTCTAGGATTTTTGCTGTGGAAGTTTTTTGTTTCAAAATTCTCTATCTCGTTACATAATTCCTTGATTATGTTAATCATAACTACTTGAAAGCCTATCTGGTTGATCTCTTGTGGATGCTTTTACATTTTCTCCTTTTTTCTTAGTTTTCACTCCTATCTATTCTTTATGCATGTTTAATTTTGTCTGTGTGCTGGACGTAGACAATTTAAGGCTCCGTACAGTGTTAGCTTTTTCTTGAGAAGCTACGGTTTTGCCTTTGTCAGGCGGCTAGTCAAGGGGGATATTACCATACTCTAAGTGGGGGTTGAAGTGATTTGCATCTAGTCTTCAGTCCTTGAAAGGACTGGTCTACTTTGAGTTTCCCCTGCTGCCTAGAATATAGCCCCTGGGGGACTCAACTAAAAGCCTAAGCTGTTGACCCCCTTTTTTTTCTTTTCTTTTTTTTTTTTTTTTTTTTTTTTTGGTGTGTCTGTACTCCAGTTTTAGTCTCTGCATTTCTATGAGGCTTCACAGTATTTTTCTGATTTTAACTTCTCAGTGTCTGCTGCTACTTTTAGAAATGGCAGTTGACTTTTTGAGAAAGCAAGTCCAAATATAAAATTCATTTTGATTACCTTTCCTTCTCTTGCAGATCTTAATTCTCACTCCCTTGGTGGCTTTTATGTCTTTTCAGACATGTTTTCCTTTTTATATTTTGTCTGGCAAAAAGCCCTTGTTCTTAGCAAGAGGGTTGGGCCAAGACCACCTGCTCATCAATTTCTAAGGCAGTAAGTTATAGTAATTTTTCAAAATTAAACTTGTTAGTGTATGGGAATGTCATGGCATTTTGTGTATTGATTTTTGTATCCCGAAAACTCACTAAATTATTAATATTGATTACTTGTTTTTTATTTTTCTATATGGACAGTCATACACAAATAACAAGGATTTTGTTTTTCCTTTTTTAATCTTTTCATTTTTAATTTCTTTTTGCCTTACTGGACTGGCCAGGATCTTTGTATACTATTGAAGTGGTGTTTGCACATATTTTTGCCTTCTATCTTACCTTAAATTACGTGCCTTCAACATTTCACCTTTAAATATAATCTTTACCAAAATTTGGTATTTCCTTTTTTGGAGGGCAGTTTGATAAGAGGTTTAAAAAGAACTTCTCAGGGCACCTCGGTGGTTCAGTTGGTTAAGTGTCTGACTTTGGCTCAGATCATGATCTCACAGTTCATAAATTCAAACCCTGCATCAGGCTCTCTGTTGTCAGCTCACACCCTGCTTTGGATGCTCTGTCCCCTTCTGTCTCTGTCCTTCCCCTGCTTGCTCATGTGCATGCTTTCTCTTTCTCAAAAATAAAAATGAACATGAAAAAAAAATTCTCATCTACTCTTTGTTTACTAAAGGTTTTTATGATTGGATTTTGAATTTTATAAAATGCTTTCTTCCAAATAGGTGCTATTTTATTTGCATAACATTTTCTTCTTGCTTTAGACATCCATCTTGAATCACTTCTTGTCAGTATTTCATTCCTCCTGTAGAATGTCCTTGAGTGAGTACTTGTTGATGGTGAAATGTAGTAGTTACTGTCTCTAGGCATTTTTATTTTGTGCTCTTATGTTCACTGAAGGATATTTTTGCTGAGTAAGGAGTTCTGGGTTGAGTGTTATTTTCTCTTAGCATATTAATACATTTTTCCATTATCTTATGTGTTTCTATTGTGTCCAGCGTAGGTTTTGTTTTGTTTTGTTTTGCCTGGTTTTTTGTTTAATGTATTTGAGAGGTCTGCCTATAATTGACCTAATTTTAATTTTTTTATTCCTGGGTATTAGAATTTATTCAGGAAAAAATACTGTATTTTTATATAAATAATCTCATTTGACCTTTTAGCACTTTTGCATATTTATATCATAGTGATAGCTAAAGTTTATAAAGATATATCTGAAACCCACTACAGAAAATTTGGAAATGTGGACTTCAGAATTATTTGGAAATAAATTAGTTTTCTTATTTCTCAATGTAGTTTTAATGCTGTATGTTTTATTTTAGAAAGTATTATAAGTAGATGGACTCTTCCTGAGTATTGACGTCATGGTAACTCCAGTTTTTACTATCAGTGCATTATAACATGAATGTGTACATACTCTGTGTTCTGCCCCCCCTCCATCTGTGGGGATTACATTCCAAGACCCCCAGTGGGTGCTTGAAACCACTGCTCATACCAAACCCTGTATAAACCATGCTTTTTCCTAGGCATACATGCCTATGACAAAATTTAATTTACAAATTAAGCACAGTAAGAGATTAACAACAAAAACTAGTAAAATGAAACAATTATTTACTGTAATAAAAGTCATATGAATGTGGTCCCTCTCTCAAAATATCTTGTGCTCTACTTCTTTTTTTAAATTTTTTTTTTTCAACGTTTATTTATTTTTGGGACAGAGAGAGACAGAGCATGAACGGGGGAGGGGCAGAGAGAGAGGGAGACACAGAATCGGAAACAGGCTCCAGGCTCTGAGCCATCAGCCCAGAGCCTGACGCGGGGCTCGAACTCCCGGACCGCGAGATCGTGACCTGGCTGAAGTCGGATGCTTAACCGACTGCGCCACCCAGGCTCCCCTCTTGTGCTCTACTTCTTATGATGATGTGAGATGATAAAATGCATACATGATACAATGAAATGGAAGATGTAGGCAGTGTAACATAGTATTAGATTACTGCTATTGACCTTCTGACCATATGTCAGAAGGAGAATCATCTGCTTCTAATACACGGTTGACCACTGGTAACTGAAACTGTGGAAAGCAAAGCCACAGAGAAGGGGGACTACTGTATATTAAAATCTCCTGTTAATCAGAATATTCACTAGAATACTGACTAGAAATTCATGGCTCACTGTTAATTATTAGAATTTGCTGTATTCATCTTGTCACTGAACCTCAAGACCCTGATAACAACACAGTGCTTATGTATAAGGGCTTCCTGCAGAATTAACCCTGTGATGAATATCTCTGCTTTGTAGAGCATGCAACTGAAGTCTCAGGCATTTTTTATCCTATTTCATTCAGCTCTGTAAGGAAATACAAATTTCTGACTGAACAACTTTTTAACATATAACACATTGATTAATCTTAAAGCAGAGAAAATAATACTTTTTGTTATTGATTAGCCTGTAAGGAAGACTATTTAGTTAGATTTTATTAAGATGTTCAAAGAATAGTTGATCTATCTTCTTGATTAATAACTTCATGATAATAATGACAGGAGCTAACATCAAATGATTTTAATTATGTAAATTTCCAAATGTTACACAATATTAATTCATTTAGTTTATTCAGTTCTTTGAAAGAGCTGCTGTCACCATTCTCATTTTTCAGTTGTAGAATCTAGATTTCCTGTTTGTTAAGAGCAAACTCTAATTTTTTATTTTTTGGTTGTTTTGTTTTAGGATATGATGACACCTATAAATTTGGGGAAAAAGACCATTTATTTAGTTTCATTCTTTGAAGGCTTACAGCGCATTATTTTATTCACTGAAGATCCAAGGGTATTTAAAGCAACATATGAAAGTGAGAAAGCAGAGTTAGCGGAGCAAGAAATTGTGTTGGCCTTACAAGATGTTGGAATTTCCCTCGTCAACAATTACACAAAGCAAGAAGTAGCCTATATTGGCATTACAAGGTTAGATGCATTAAAATTTGGATAAAATTAAATGATTAGTTCTTAATAAGAATGGTGACTGTAAAATCTAAAATAATGTAAAGTTTTGTAAACATGCTTTTGAGATTTTTTTTTTACCTTTTGAGATAAAGATATATCAGAAATCACTTTTATAAATCCGGTATTATGTTGATGATTCTCTCACCTTTCCAAAAAGTTATATTTATTCAGCTTATCAAAGGTATACCTTATGTAACATGTCATAAGGAAGAATTTAATTTTCCATTACCACCCACCACAGTGTAAGATACAGGATAGATCCTCCATAAATAGTTGTTGGAGGAATAAAGCCAATCACTTTTTAATTTGACCTTGACACTTTAAGATGTACTACAGTGATACTGAATTTATCATTTCCCCTGTAAGTCATTTTAGAGTAAAACTTATTCTTTCCTTTATTCCTTTAATATTCCTGTTCATAAGTACCTCAAGTAAAATTAATCTGTATATATTTGTATATATTAGTGCCTGATTTGAGAGCATTTCTAGATTTCCAGCAGGAAAGTGTAGTTTTGACCTTGACTTAAACTCTCAAATAAACATATACATTAAAGGTAATTGGTACAGATTTAAATTTGTTTTTCTATATAAATTCATCTAGAAATGCCCTTTATTTTTCAATGAATGGAATCCATGCCATTTAAAAAGGAATATTAAAAACTATTTTCTTAAGAATTTTTATTCCCCAAAAATGTGTTTATTTGTTAAGTGCTATGCTACATTGTGTGAATGCAAAGGGGGATAATACATGATTCCTACCATTCTGTTTAAGTGAATACAAATTTTAGAGGGAATTGATAGAATTATTAAATAACTTACATACTTAAACAGGGTGAAGTAACTTTAGAATGTTTCTATTCTGTACACAGGTCTCTCAGCAATTTTTCAGTAAATTATTTGTTCCCTGCTCTCTTAGATTGCTGTTTCACACTTTGTCTTGTTTTAAAACCCCATTCTCTCTCTCATCTTGCTGCTTTGTATCCCATTTCACTGAGAAAATTAATGAAAAGGAAACTTCCAGCGACGTACCCCTCCAAAAATCACAGCTTCTACCCATGAGCATTTCTTACCCATGTCCTATACCAACATCTTCTCCACAGTAAATTATACTAATACATGTGCTACTATTAAAAAAATTTTCAACTTTGCACTCTTTTCCGTTTCTTTTTGCCTTCTTGAGGCATTGATCCAGCAATTCTCTTCTTTCTCCTATGTAATAATTTTTGGGTCTCTGTTGGATTATTCCCATCAGTATTAGTTACTTCAAAATAAAAAATTCTCTTGAGCCTACTTTCCCTGCTACCTACTGTGCATTTCTTGCTTTCCATTTATAGCCAAACTTGTCAAAAGTGTCATCTGGTAAAAAAAAAAAAAAAAAGTGTAATATACTCATTATTTCCTAATTCGCTTTTTTACCCATTTTTTTAACCACTGCCAACAGGATTTTACTTTCAACACACCATGAAACTGATCTTGTCAAGATCACCAGAGACCTATGTATTGCCAGGTCCAGTGTAATTCCCAGTCCTCATGTTGCTTAAGTTTGTAACAGAGAGATCCCTTCTCTCTCTCTCTCTCTCTCTCTCTCTCTCTCTCTCTCTCTCTCATTAATGTGGTTTAAAAACTTTTTTTTCATTTATTTATTTTGAGAGAGAGGGAGGGAATGCAAATGGGGGAGGGGCAGAGAGAGAGAATCCCAAGCAGTCTCTGCGCTGTCAGCCTGGAGTCTGACATGGGGCTCCATCTCATGAATTGTGAGATCATGACATGAGCCGGAATCAAGACTCAGTCGCTTAACGGACTGAGCACCCAGGCGCCCCAAATGTGGTTTTATTAAAGCACAGAAAGAACTGCCACACAGATCCCTTCTTGATAGTTTTCTTTGACTTGACTTCCAGGATACCTCCCCATCCTTGTTTTTCTTTCTTTGCCAGAATTCTCCATCTCAGGTGTTGATTCCTTGTTTTCTCAACTGCTTAATATTGGGTGCCCTGAAGCTCTCAGACATGAGTCCTTTTCTCTGTTTCAAATACCACATATATGCCAAAAATTTGAGCAATATGTATATCTTTAACCAGACATTTGTCCTGAACTCCACGCTTGTATATCCACTGCCTACACAAAATAGCTACTCTTACATCTAAGTGACTTCTTTAAACTTCATATGTGTAAAACCTAACTCCTGATGTCCTTTTACGAAAACCTCCTTCCCCATTGGAATCAATGACTACCTCCCTCTAGTTGCTCAGGTCAAAAGCTGCGGGATCATCTTCGATTCTTCTCTGTATCTCACACCCCATACCTATGTAATAATACAATAATTACAAGTTCTGTGCTGACTCTGCCTTCAAAATAGACACAGAGTCGGTCAGACTGGTAGAGTTTTTACTGCCTCACTGTTCCACCCTAGGTAGAGCCATCACCATTTTTCTCCTGGTTTATTCCATTAAACTCCTAACAAGTGTCCAGCTTCTAACCTTTACTCCTATCCTTTCCCCCTCTGTCCCAACACAATTGTATTCTTTACAAAGTTTAAGTCAGATGATGTGGCTGATCTCATAATCTTTCAATTCTTTCCTAATATCAGAATAAAACTCAAAGTTTTTACAGTGTCTTACAAGGCTTTACATTCAAAGTCTATAATCTGTAAGGCTTTATATTACGTGGCTTCCCACCATCTGTCTTATTTCATCTTCCACTCTTAATGGTCCCTCTCCCTGAAATTGTCTACTCTGTTGTCTGCTGGATAATTCCCTTACCTCCTGTAAGGTTGCTGAAGTCTCATCTTCTCAGTGACACCCCCCCAGTGACCATGCTGTTTTACTACTGGCATATCCCAGTACTCCACATCCATCTCACCCTGTCTACTTACTCTTTTTTCAAAAGCATTTCACCTCTTACTAGTTAAAATATTCTAACTTATTATATTTACTATTGTCTGTCACTCAGTTATGATAAAGCTCCAGTATGCAAAGATGTTTACTGATAATATCCCTACCACCTAGAATAGTGTCTTAGTAAAAGTCTAAGTAGTAATAGAATGAATTTGTATTTTTAAACTTGTAGTGTGTTTGCATATAACTGAGGATATTGTAAAATTTTACTGAAAGTTTTGGAACTCATGTAATAAACCAGCTACAATGGAAATGTTTATAAATGAGTACCATGATTTTTGCTTTCATATAAGTTCTGATGTGGTTTGGGAGACAAAGCCCAAGAAGAAGGCAAGATGGAAGCCAATGAGTATAAAGCACACTGAGAAGTTAGAAAAAGAATTTAAGGAATATACTGAATCTTCACCTTCAGAAGATAAGGTTATTGAGTTGGACACTAACATTCCGGTAATATTTTGAAGTAATGATGTGCGGTTTTAATTTGTACCTGTTGTAAATAGATGAATCACTTTTGATTTTTTTTAAGTTGATTTATTTTGAGAGAGAGTGCGGGAGGGGCAGGGAGAGAACTCACAAACTGACTGTGAGATCATGACCTGAGCCAAAACCAAGAGTTAGACTCCTAACCGACTGAACCACCCTGGCACCCCTCACTAGTGAATTTTTAAGGAAAGTCTGGTTTCCTTACAAAACAATTAATTATACCATACATACTTTATATAAAATGCTTTAAAGGGAAAGTTATCTATATTAGCAACTCATACTTTTAAGAAGCCAATATGTTATTTTAGTTGTTAAATTTTTTTCTTTTATCATTTTTTAGTAAATTTATATAAAAAGTGATATAATAAAAAGTGAATATTTTTTGTGAATTGTATTTAAAGATCCAACCTAAACCTAATCAAATTGCAAATGTCTAATCTAATCAACTATGTAGCCTATTACTTCAGTTAATATTATCTTAAAGTTTTTGGTACAAATTTCGGATTTTAATCAGTTTATGAATTCAGAGAAATTGTATTTTGTGGGGGGGGGGCATGTTTTTCAGGTTCGCTTCACACCTAGTGGCACTAACATGAAAATTCTGCAACCACATGTAATAGCCATACGAAGAAATTATCTTCCAGCATTAAAAGTAGAATATAGCACATCTGCACATCAGTCATCATTTAGAATTCAAATTTACAGAATACAGGTGAGTCTGAAAAGATACTCAAATTGTGTTCATAAGGAACATAGCAATAAACCAAATGTGTTCCCATGGTCGCTCTAGTACTTTGATTTCAGTGTTGAACTAGACTGCTGATTCCTTCTACTTATTAAATCCTGTTATTCTAGTCAAGTTCTGTAATTAACATGTTAATATACCAACCTGGTTTTTTTTTATTTTCATAGATCCAAAACCAGATACATGGTGCTATATTTCCTTTTGTGTTTTATCCGATTAAACCTCCCAAGTCGGTCACCATGGATTCAGGTTTGTTTGTATTTTAAATTGCCATGAAAATGTTTGTATTAGCTGTATGGTTTATTTTACTATAAAAATATGAAATGAAACCATTCTCAAGTTTAGTTTCTATGGGATCATTAGAAAATTAAATAGCATGGAAAAGGAACAACAGGTACTCAATTAAGGTCAACACAATATTGAATTCTGAAGAAAAGATTAATTAGAAACATTTAAATATTTAGAAATATTACTTAAAAAATGGATTGCTGGTTTGTAAACCTCTGATCTAAAAACCAATAGGATCTCTGAATAAATTTTGAAGGAATTTAAATTCAGAGTGGTTTCCAGCCATGAAAACTGTCCTGTATTCTCCAAGTCAGTGTGATGACAAGTCCTTTGTTCCATTCTCTTCCCCTTCACTTCTATCTTTTCTATCCCTCGTATCCTCACTTTGTCTTTGCTACCCCTGCCCTTGCCTTCCGACCCCTACCTCCACACCACTGGCTTTGAACTCTCTAAGGTGGTATTCATAATCTTCTTGGAAGCTTTTGACCATTGTACATGCCCAAGCCCCTCCACCCAGAAGTCCAGGACGAGACCCTGAAATCTGTGTTTTCACAGTGTTTGCCTTGTGATTCTAATGCATACTTCTACTTTAAAATCACTCACTAATTTAAAGGATTAGTTATCCTTAAAGTGAATACAGATAACTTAAAAAAAAAATCCTAGAGTCTGAAATTAAGACTGTAATGGATCTTGCAAATAGCAATTTTAATTGATACTCATAATTTAGTAAATAATTTAGGTCTCCATTGTAATGTGTATTAAATTGCAAGAACGTGCTTATCTTCCGCTTAAAGCATCATGGGATTAATCCTATTTATTACTTCTACAGCTCCAAAACCCTTCACAGATGTCAGTATTGTTATGAGATCTGCAGGCCATTCCCAGATTTCACGTATTAAGTAAGTGTCTTAATATATTTCTTGTGTGTTTATTTAATGTTTTGATTTAAATATGTGAGCTAATTGTACTCTTTTAAAAAAAATTCAGATGAGTCAAATGTTTAAATGCAAAATACTAAATTATACAGGTCATTAGGAAAAATCTATAATTTTGGAGAGTCAGAGGCTGTGAATGAAATATACTTAGGTATTAACTGTGAGTATTTTGCTACTTTATCATTTGCTTTCTGATAGGTTTTCTTTAATTACTGCATATCATTTTAGAAAAAAGAAAGAAAATAGTATCTTAAAATTAAGTCACTATCCAGTCTAAGAAGTAGAACATTGACAGAAACATCCATCTGTATTTACTCTCCTATTTCTTGTGTTCTCCACCCTATCAACCAAGAACTATCTTCATCCCTTTTTAAAATATAATTCTATTAAATATATGTATTTAGATATTCTTGTGTTCCCTTTTTTTCCTAATTAAAAAAATTTTTTTCAAACTGAACATAGACTTTTGGGGACTGGATTTTTTCATTCAACTATTACTAAATTTTATTTTCTGTGTAGGTAGAGTTTATTATCACTAATGTATAATATTCTGTATGACTGTATAGCACAATTTACTTGCCAGTTTTTTCTCTATAGGCATTTTTACATTTTGAGTTTGTTGCTGTTATGTGTTGCCATGATTTTTTTTATTCATCTAGAAAATCCTCAGTTTCAACATTCTAATAGTTATCTAATGCTTTTTTCTAGCTAATTTTCTTAATGCACTTAATCAATGATTTTATGTTTTCTGCTTTGTAATAATAGGTACTTCAAGGTGTTGATCCAAGAAATGGATCTCAGGTTAGATCTTGGGTTTGTCTATGCTTTAGCAGAACTTATGACAGAAGCAGAAGTGACTGAAAAAACAGAGGTAAGTCTTAAAATGATAGCATTGATGGGAAGGGTTCGGGAAGAGGAAGACTAAACAATTATAAATTCTTGATGTATTAATATGGTTTTAATCCACTGGTGGGTAAAGTGGTAGAAGTCACATTTTCAGATTGTAGATGACGTGTAAGACAAGTTAAAATAGCCTGTTTTAGGTGTGTTAGCAAACAGGAGGAAATGTTTTAAGCCAGTAGTAGTGACTAGCTAGTAGTCATGTTCACATCACTGTTTTTTCCTATTTTATTTTCCTGGGTTACTTTTGTTTTAATTAGTAACTGAGAAATTTGGGTGTGACCAGGATATTCTGCGAAGGAAAAGGTAAAAATAAAAGGGAGTATGTTACTTGTGACCGATAGAAAGACTATAAAATCACAGTGATAGAGTAGATCATATATGATCTCTTTTTCAGCTGTCTTCATAAGAATTCTGAAGATAAGACAAATTATATGGGTAAAAGAATATATACTTTTTTCTTTTAATAGCAATTTATTGAGATATAGTTCACATACCATATATTTTAATCAAAGTGTACAGTTCAGTGACTTTTAATATATTTACAGAATTGTACAGCCAGTGTTACTATCTCATTCCAGAACATTTTCATCATCCCAAAAAGAAACCATGCCAGTCCCATACAACCACTAATAATATACTTTCAGTCTGTTGGTTTTCTTACTCTAGATATTTCATATTAATAGAACCATCCACTGCGTAGTTATTTGGAAGGGAGGGGCTTCTTTCACTTAGCATGATGTTGACAAGGTTCATTCAGGTTGTAGCATCTATCAGTACTTCTGGCCAACGAATACTCTGTTGTTATAGATGCATTCCATATTGTATATAGCCAGTGCTCTGTGGATATGCCACATTTTGTTAATCCATTCATCAGGTAGGGACATTTGTGCTGTTTCCACATTTAGGCTATTATGAATAATACTGCTGTGAATATTTGTGTACAAGTTAAAATCATATAAAATGTATGATTCTAATTTCAGTGTCATCATCAACACTTGTTATTATCTGTCCTTTGAATTCTAGCCATCGTAGTAGATGTGAAGTATATCTTTGTAATTTTGATTTGCATATACCGGATGAGTAATGACTGAACATCTTTTGATGTGTTGATTGATCATTTACATATCTTCTTTGGAGAAATGTCTTTCAGATTTTTTGCCTGTTATTAAATAGGTTGGCTCCTTATTATCAAATTGTAAAAGTTCTTTATATATTCTGAATACAAGTTCCATATCAGATCTATGATTTGCAAATACTTTGACTCATTCTGTATGTTGTGTTTTACTTTCCTAATGTCTTTTCAAGTACAAAAGTTTAACATTAATGAAGTCTGAATTCTCTTGTTGCTCATGTTTTTGGTGTCATCTTTAAGAGTCCTTTGTGAAATTCAAGATTATTAAGGTAATAAAGATTTAGCCCTATGTTCTAAGCATTATTTACAATCAGGTCTTTCATATATTTTGAGTTAATTTTTGTACGTGGTATAAGAGTCCAGGATCACCAGTCTTTTGCATTTGGCTCTTCAATTGTTCCAATACCATTTGTTGAAAGACTATTCCTTCCTCATTAATGGTCTTGGTACCCTTGTCAAAATCAGTTGATTATGGGGCGCCTGGGTGGCGCAGTCGGTTAAGCGTCCGACTTCAGCCAGGTCACGATCTCACGGTCCGTGAGTTCGAGCCCCGCGTCAGGCTCTGGGCTGATGGCTCGGAGCCTGGAGCCTGGAGCCTGTTTCCGATTCTGTGTCTCCCTCTCTGTCTGCCCCTCCCCCGTTCATGCTCTGTCTCTCTCTGTCCCAAAAATAAATAAACATTGAAAAAAAAAAATCAGTTGATCATAAATATATGGTTTTTTTCCATTGCTCTCTAAGTCCATCTTTGTGCCAATACTGCACTGTCCTGATTATTACTGTTTTGTAGTAAGTTTTGAAATTGAAAAGTATGAATCCTCCTACTTTCTTCTTTTTCAAGATTGTTTTGACTATTTAGGGTCCTTTTGCAATTCCGTATGAATTTGAGAGTGAGCTGGACAATTTCTTTGGAGAAGTCATCTGGGGGCTTGACAGGGATTACATTGAATCTATATACTAGCCTTAGGGTTTTGACATCTTAACATTATTAAGTCTTGCAGTCTTTTTTTTTTTAATTTTTTTTAATGTTTATTTATTATTAGACAGAGCATGAGCATGGGAGGGGCAGAGAGAGAGGGAGACACAGAATCTGAAGCAGGCTCCAGGCTCCGAGCTGTTAGCACAGAACCTGATGCGGGGCTCGAACTCACAAGTTGTGAGATCATGACCTGAGCCAAAGTCGGTCGCTTAACTGACTGAGCCACCCAGGCACCCCCGAGTCTTACAGTCTTTAAACACTGAATATCTTCTATTTAATGTAGATTTACTTTTTTTCAACACCGTTGTATGATTTTCAGAGTGTAAATTTGGCTTTTGTTATATTCATTATTGAATATTTCTTTTCTTCTAGCATGAACAAAATTGTTTTCTTAATTTCATTTTGGTTTGTTTATTGCAAGTGTATGGAAATACACTTAATGTTTTTATACTGATCTTGTATTCTGCAATCTTTCTGAACTCATTTATTAGCTCTGCTAGTTGTTTTGTGGGTTTTCCTTATATAAGATCATGCCATTTGAGAATAGTTTTACTTCTTCCTTTCTGATCCAATCTGGATGACTTTTGTTTCTTCTTAATTGCCCTGCTAGAACCTCTAGTACAAGGTACAGCATTGAATAGATGTGTCAAGAGCAGACATCCTTGCTTTGTTTCTGATCTTAAAGGGAAAGCTTTCAGTCTTTCACCATTAATTATGGTATCAGCAGATTTTTTGCAGATAACCCTTCATCTGGTTGAGTTCGCTAATATTGCCAGTTTAAGTGTTTATCATGAAAGTATGTCACATTTTGTCATATGTTTTTTCTGCATCTGTTGGGATGATCGTATGGTTTTCGTTGTATTGATTATATTACACTGGATGTTAAAACAACCTTCTATACCTGGGATGAATCCCACTTGGCCACATACATAATTTTTTAAAATATTTGTTTGGTTTGGTAGTATTTCGTTGAGGATTTTTGTGTTTACATTCATGGGATATTGGTCTGTCATCGGCCCAACAGATTTTTTATACATATGTAATTTAGTCATTTGCTTTTTGAATTAAAAGAAGAGGAAAAGATTATATATTTTTACCATCTTTTATACTTGCATAATCGTCTTCACACCAGTGCTGGCTGTTGTTTGTTTGTTTGTTTGTTTGTTTTTTCATTTGAGTTCTGATTACTACTTGGGGTCACTTGCCTTCAGCCTGAGGAATCTCATTAGTATTTCTTGTAAGACACACTTGCTAGCAGTAAACTCAGTTTTTGTTTATCTGAGAATGTCTTTATGTCCCTTTGTTATGAAAGGTAGCTATACTTTGTATAGGATTATTGGTTGGCTTTTTTTTTTTTTTTCATTTAGTGCTTTGAATATGTTAGCCCACTCCCTTCTTGCCTCCTTTCTGCCAGGATGTCAACCATTCATCTTATCAGGATCCTTCTTATATAATGGGTTGCTTTTCTGTTCTTGTTTTTAAGATTATCTCCTTGTCTTTGACTTTCAGTAATTTTACTCTTATGTATCTGTTGTGACTTTCTTTCTGTTTATGCACTTGGAGTTCATTTAGCTTCCTGGATACATAGTTTAGTAGTGTTTTTCAGTGATTTTAGAAAGTATTCAGCTATTATTTCTTCAAATATTTTTTTTCTTTTTTTCTCTCTCCTCCTCCTTATACTCCCATACTGTATATGTTAGTATGCTTAACAGTGCCCCACATTTCTCCGAGACTGTTCATTTTTCCTCTTTTTTCTCTGTTCTTAAGATTGCATAATCTGTAACACTTTATCTTCAAGTTCACTAATGAAGCAGTGCATCTAATTTAGCATATAATAGTGTTTATATTCCTTCTATCAACTCAAATCCACTGTTACCTCGTTCTAGTGAATTTTCCATTTGTTACAGTTTTCAATTCCAGAATTTCTCATAGGACTTTTTAATTTAATCTTTCTCCTTCTGTATTGATATAATCTATTTGATAAGACATTGTCATCATAATTTACTTTCCTAAATATGGTTTTCTTTAATTCTTTGAACATGTTTACAGTGGTTACTTTGAAGTATTTTAATCCAATCTGGTCACATCTCACAGGCAGTTTCTTTTGCCTGCTTTTTTCCCAGAGTATGGTTAATACATTGCTATGTCTTTGCATATCTCATAATTTTTTGTTAGAAACTGGACATTTTAAGTAATATACTATAAAAACTGGCTACTGGGCCCTCTCCTCCATAGTTTATTATTGTTTCTAGCTTATTTATTCATGTAGTGACTAGATTTTTATATTGAAGTCTATCCCACCCACACCCCTGACTTTCCCTGCGGTGTTCAGCTTTTGGTGTTGCTCAGAAAGGTGAAGATTTGCAACACCCACTGTCATCCTGGAATAACTGGTTTTGGGGCTGGGCCTTCTTCTCTTTCCACAACCACACCCTGCTGTTATATATACTCCACAGTTGCCAGCTGATTGCTTTATTTTTTTCAACAGTACCTTAGGCCACAAATTGCTCTGCAGACTAATCCAATCAAACTTGAGGGGTTTTTTGAAGGAATTGATCTGGAGATCATATTTGTTCTGAGGCTGGGAAGACCCCCTCTAAACTGTCTCTGCCCATTTCTCTCATGAAAACTAACAGGACTACAGTTTAGGCTGTATCTTCATTGAATCAGTGGTTTTCTGTCTAATTGACTTTCACCATGACATTCACTGTTTCCCAAAGCCTACGCTTGAACTGCTTCACACTCTCTTGTAGTTGAAGGCAATTTTTTCAGGAAAAGATTAGGAACTATTTCAAAGTTTCTTTGCTGTCCACCTCCCTACACCCCAGGTAAAATCTGAACCAGAGCTTCAGAGCTGGGGGAGGAACAAGAGTGATCAGAACCCAGTATTCTCAGTGACATTACACACAATTAGTCTTTGTTCCATGAGTAGAGGCCAGGCAGGGAATGTAAGCTCTCCCATCTCTGTAATGTAACATTAGCGCTGGTAGCTGGGGGCAGGATGAGAAATGCTGACACCTTTATGCCTCCCAGGAGGAAAGTCTACCAGTGAGGGAGACTAGGCAGAAAGGGAGCTTTGTGTTTTTGAGTATAGCAGTCTCCAGTGGTGTTACGGCTTATTGAAGTAGGAGGGGGCACTAAGAGAGTATTCCTTGTTCAGATACCACAGATTCACTTTTCTTACCAAATGTTTGTAGATTTTCTTGAAGAGATGTTTAATTTGCTTATACCCTTAGGTTCATTCGTAGAGGCCTTAAATAAGTGGGGTTTTTTTTTGGGTTTTTTTGCTTTTTTTAAATTTCACCAGTTTCACTGGGGAAGCTGATCTAAAGATCCCCTCACACTGTCATCCCAGAAGTAGTTTCCAGATACTCAACTTTTAATAAGGCTGTCATTTTGATATTTTTGATGATGGGTTAAATATGAATGTTGGGCTATTTCTCAACACATAGAAGTAACTTAGATTTGTGAGTGTTTGGAAGAGAATTAACGATTATCAAAAATGAAAGCCATTATCACTTTATGCAACGTCATTTGCAGGACCTTCCCCTTTTTGATTTATATTACTGGCCTCTGTAGATGTCAATATTTACCAAAAAGCTACAAGTGGAATGTGATTATATTTAAGAAATCTATATTCCTAAGAAAGTGTTGATGGAGGGACACCTGGGTGGCTCAATCCATTAAGTGTCTGACTCTTGATTTCAGCTCAGGTCATGATCTCAAGGTTGTAAGATTGAGCCCTGTGTCAAGCTCTGCACTGAGTGTGAAGCCTGCTTGGAAGTCTTTCTCTCTTCTCTCTCTCTGCCCCTCCTCTACTCGTACACGGGCTGGTGCCCCACCCCCACCCCCATCCCCCAAAAATAAATCACATAAAAAAAGTATTGGTGAGCTGGATTATAGTAGCTTTTTGGGATAAACTTTGTAGTCCCAAGAGTAAAAGCTTAATGTTTTTAATGGATTAGATGGAAACATAGAAGATATGCTTATCAGTTTGTGAGGAAGGGACAGAGCTTTACTAACAATAGAAGTGTTAGGTTCCCTTTTGATGTAGTAACTTTCCAATCACAAGGAACGTTGAATCTGGATGTTATAAGGAAGTGTTCTGCAGTGTATGAACTCGTACAGATGAATCCCTTAAGTTTTTAATACTTTTTGTTTCTTATAGGTTGAACTTTTTCATAAAGATATAGAAGCTTTCCAAGAAGAATATAAAACAGCTTCATTAGTAGATTCATCACAAGTCAGTCTCTATGAATACTTTCATATATCTCCCATCAAGGTAGGAGAAAAGTCTCTTTTTTATTATCCCTGATAATCTCGGTAATAGCAAATTGACTTGATCTGTGTGGAGAGATGAGCACGTAAATTATGTTCTCTAATAGTATATAAAAAGTAAGGAATAATCCTTTAAAATTTTTATTTATACTTATAACAATTTTTCACCATGTGGAAATAATACTGGGCCCACGTAAAACATGAACTTACGTGTTTATATCTTGACCTAATATTATGTTACCTTAGTTTTCTATTAACATGCTTAATGACAGTTTTCAAAATTGTGTGTATGATTGTATATTTTTTTTATTGAATTATAATTGACATAGAACATACATTAGTTTCAGGTGTAAAAGGTGATGATTCATTACTTATATACGCTGTGAAATGATCACCACAATAAGTCAAATGACCATCCATCACCATACATGTTAAAAATTTGTTTTTCTTGTGTGAGAACTTTTAAGATTTATTTACTCTTAGCAACTTTCAAATAATGCACTATAATATTATTAACTATAGTCTTTAAGTTTTAAATTAATTCATAAAGTAACCTCGATTTAAAAACTGGAAGTTGAATGGAACTAAATATAAGTTCTTAACACAAAGTTTCTGAATTACATAATACTTGAAGAATATTATTGTATAGCTATGTATGTATACCGTGTATGTGCATATGATACGAAAGTGTGTTTTAACTGTTTTCAATGTGCTAACTTAATTGTAATAGTTGAAACACTTACTTTTGGTGATACTTGAATCATTTCAACAACCTCAACTTCTAGATTATTAATATTATTTAAAGATGTATACAAATTACTATTTTCCTAGGTGTACCAAAAGAATCGGATTGAACCTAAATGCCATATTAGTCTGTATTGCTGAATTTAAAATTTAAAAAGAATTGTGTTCAATTTTAAATTCCTTTAACTTTTTACATAATAATTTTGATATAATCTAGATAATTTTGAAATCTTCTTTATGGTGTAGTAAATTTAAAATAAGATTGAAATTTAAAAGCTAAAATTGTCATTTTGAAAATAGTGCTTGAAATATTTCTCTCTTTATCTCTTTAGTTGCACTTAAGTGTTTCACTGCGTTCGGGTAGAGAAGAAGCTAAAGATTCAGAAAAACAGGAAGGACTGATGGCGGTTCATTCCTTAAATCTTCTGCTGAAGAGTATTGGTGCGACTCTTACAGATGTACAAGATGTAGTTTTTAAGTATGTGTAATATTCAAATCTGTAAATTGACGAAAAGCCCATTTTATATTTACGTAAAAACTTTATAAGTGAAAAGTGTGTAAAGGACATTGCAGATCAGAGGCAAATACGGTCTTTACTGTTAAATGGAATATAATTTAACATATTACCTGCCAGGCCCTAACTGTTAAGAAACAGAATAATTATTAAATAATTTCCTTAAGAAAGAGAGACAGAGCCCATACAAGTTTGTGCATTATATAAGGCCTTTCAGGCCTCGGGGAGGATTCCTAAGAAGCCGTGTGTGCTCAAAGGTATGGTGCTTCAAAGATGTGGTTTCAGGATTTAATAGGATCAAGACTCTTTAAAGCATATGTGGCTAGAACAAAATGAATGCCATGAAGGGAGCCAAGAATTTACATTTTAGTGGGAGTCATGGAAGCTATCAGAATATCTGACCAAAGAGACAGGAAGTCTGAGTGGAGATTTCAGATGACAAGGACCTTTTCAGGTAGCACCTAGAAAGATTATGAAGAACAACGGTAAGAATCAGTGATCCCAGCAAGATGCAATTCTAAATCCAGATAAAGTTAGGTAATGAATTAAAGAACATAGGACATAAAGAACGTAGGTTTGAAGACATTGGGAATAGGGTAAAATCTCTAATCCCGCTGCTGTTTTACCTGCTAACACAGAGCTTCCCATGTCATGGATCTGATATATGCTGTGACTAGGTTAAAAGTAAACTGACCTGGATTCCTCACCTGTCAGTTGATCAGGCAGGACCTGCAGCGACTGAACCCTGGCCATTCTTGAGCATCCTCCTCCACTTGTCTCAGGTGTCAGACATTTTCTTTATGGGCCGTGATAGGACAGAGTTGAGTAATAGAGTCTATATGTATGAATGGAATTCAGAGGGTCTCTGAATCCCCTAAATTACGTGAAAGTATGTATAGGTGGCTTTTCTGAGGCTAAGATCCATAGCTTCCATAAGATTCTTAGATGTTCTTTGACAGGAATAAGCAGAGATACATGTGAAAGAGGAAATTTTCTGATTGGCACAGGACTGTATTGAAAGGAAAGATTTGGAGAAAAATTCTAAAGAAAATGAAACCACTCGTTAATATTAAAAGCATTCTCTTCACCTCTCTCCCTCTTCTCCCTTGATACGTACCCACACACATATTTATGTGTTTTTCAGGCTTGCATTTTTTCAACTCAACTATCAGTTCCATACAGCATCTGAACTACAATCTGAAGTAATAAGACACTATTCAAAACAGGTTTGTCTGAGATTATTTTACAAAGGGACAGATTAATATAAAATAGTGAAACATTTTGTGTCTTACATGTAGATGTGACAAGGCTAAGTGAGCAGCCATGTTCAAAATTTTTTAACTTTTTTTCTCAGAATTGTAGAAAGAAATTGAGCCCTATCACCATTTCAATTTTTTGCCCTCCTGTTGTTTTTCCACTGACTGGTCTCTTCTGGATCATTGTGGACTTAAGACATTTTTAAATAAAATATTAACTAAGTAATTCACCAAACTTACTTAAAAAAATAGTTTCAAGGGAAACTGTTTATTAGTAACTAGCTGGTGAACACAGGCTATTTTTAATGTAATTGTATTGTTGAGTCAGCTATATATATTACTTTAATGGATTTTTTTCCACCTTTAGAAAGACTCCCGTATCTTATGATATAACTTACAGCATCTGAGACAGCTGTCTTATCATGCACAAATCACTAAGCCTGAGTCAAGATGTGTGGGTTTAGATTCCAGTTTTGCCATTTACCTGTTACGTGACCCAGGTTATCATTTGGTCTGCATGTTGTTCCAGTCTCTAAAATGATGGTGGTAATAGTAACCATCAGACATAGTTGTAAAAGTGAAAGAATTTTGAATATTCTAAAGCTTTATGTAAATATATTATTTCTAAAACTCTAACACCAAATCACTTTTTAAAAACAAAACTAGTGATGAATAGGGTGATACAGTTTAGGTGTTAAAATTGGTGATGAGGGTGTTGACCTAAAAGCAAACAAACAAACAAAACATTGAGTTTAAAAAATTTCCTGAATATCTGATTAAGTCTGTATTTCATTTTCAGGCCATTAAGCAAATGTACGTACTCATTCTTGGGCTTGAAGTTTTGGGAAATCCCTTTGGCTTGATTAGAGAATTTTCTGAAGGTGTGGAAGCATTTTTTTATGAACCTTACCAGGTAATGAAATAGTTATTCTTGCATTGTGCAACATATTACTAATACTTTGAATAAATAATGCATCCAATTGTTAACTTGAGGTGTGTGTGTAAATAGATTTTGAGAGACACAACAGAAGGACATGATTTTGCAGCAAACAATGGTAAGAGATATTGGAAAATTTTGGAGGGATACGTTTACCTTTTCCCTAAAAATTTAAACTTAAGACTTTCCTAAGATACATTGAATTTTAAGTGTTCTCTTGGAATATTAAAGGTCAATAAACTTCACTCTATAGTAGAAGGAAGATCACCATAGACAGGCAGTCTTTGCACAATTGTGGGGACAGTACAAATAACTATGCAGGTGGACACTATACACAGCAATGTTAATCGGTGGCAAAAATTATTATTGTTTGGTGTCCCTTAAAATCTTCTGTTAAAACATTTAAAACTCTCTTACTTTCACTTTTAAATGAGAGGGCAATCAAAAAGTAAAACTATTACTATATTATTATATTGTATAGTATAATTTAAAACATAAGAAATATTAAGAATTAAAGTGCTGGGGCGCCTGGGTGGCGCAGTCGGTTAAGCGTCCGACTTCAGCCAGGTCACGATCTCGCGGTCCGTGAATTCGAGCACCGCGTCGGGCTCTGGGCTGACAGCTCAGAGCCTGGAGCCTGTTTTGGATTGTGTGTCTCCCTCTCTCTCTCTGCCCCTCCCCCGTTCATGCTCTGTCTCTCTCTGTCCCAAAAATAAATAAATGTTGAAAAAAAAATTAAAAAAAAAAAAAGAATTAAAGTGCTATTATTTCTTTTACAAAAATTATCAGGAGTAGTTTGTGGTTATGTTCTCATAACTTACATTACAGAGCAAAACATCATTTGTACACTTTGGTGAATAGTCCTATTCCTGCATTTGGATCAACTTGTTACTTTCAACGTCGTGAAGTATCTCTGAGAATTCTGTTATAATGTTCAGTTTTTTGCTGGTGTCACTTCCTCTAGGCATATATTAATTTATATTAATAAATTCACCTTTAAAATAAAATATAACCTTCTTTGTTATTATTTGACCCTTTAGGGAGCCATCCAGGGTCCTGAAGAGTTTGTGGAGGGCATGGCCCTAGGACTGAAGGCACTAGTTGGTGGAGCTGTCGGTAAGAAACAGAATGCCTACCAGGTATGATTATGCTAAAGCAATGATGCCTTTGCTTTTACTAAAAATATTATAATTTCTGCCAGGTGGATTAGCTGGTGCTGCCTCTAAAATCACCAATGCTATGGCGAAAGGGGTGGCAGCTATGACTATGGATGAAGACTACCAACAGAAGAGAAGAGAAGCCATGAATAAGCAACCAGCGGGTCTTAGAGAAGGCATTACTCGTGGAGGAAAAGGCTTAGTTTCTGTAAGAAATTTCCCAGGGTTGTAAACACAACAGGGACCATTAAATAAGGCCACATTCTGTGAATATGAAAATAGACATTGGGGCGCCTGGGCGGCTTAGTTGGCTGAATGCCCAACTTCGGCTCAGGTCATGATCTCGTGGTCCATGAGTTCGAGCCCTGCGTCAGGCTCTGTGCTGACAGCTTGGAGCCTGGAGCCTGTTTGAGATTCTGTGTCTCCCTCTGTCTCCTCCCCTCCCCTGCTCACGGTCTGTCTTTCTCTCTCAAAAATAAACATCAAAAAAAAATTTTTTTTTTAAAATAGACATTTAACTTGCACTCCTTCAAGTGTTATTTAGATATCGGAGAAGCAGGGGGTTGTGTCCTATATAAAATATGTCCATAGCCTCCAAAAGCATTCTGTTTAACTAAAATACGTGGACAGTGTGTTGATTCTTACAGTATCTAGAGAGCAAAACTCTCTTTTTTTTTTTTTTTTTTTTTTGTAAGCCAGACTTGGTTTTTCAAAGCATCATGTTGAAAGTATTAAAAATTTTTAATTGTGCTTTTCCTCTAGGGTTTTGTAAGTGGCATAACAGGAATTGTTACAAAACCAATCAAAGGCAAGTATATTCTTTTAGGTGATGTGTATTACCAGGTCTTTCACAAATTGATTCTGTTTTCTCTCATGATTCACTTGCCTAAACCTTTGTTGTTTTTCTTTCTAGGAGCTCAAAAAGAAGGAGCAGCTGGTTTCTTCAAAGGTGTTGGGAAAGGTTTAGTTGGAGCAGTGGCAAGGCCAACTGGAGGCATCATAGACATGGCTAGCAGTACATTTCAGGGAATAAAAAGGTAGGTTCTGTTTGGTGGAAGATATGAGTAAAACTCTTAAACCATGAGAAATAAAATAAATCTGCGGTTTGCCTCAAGGCACTTAGTTATGAACCTTACAGTATGGCAAGTTACATATGATTTCCTAATTCCTTTTTAAGTTGTTGCCTTTGCATCAGTTCAACTTTATGGAGTTCTCCTTTATTGGTCATTGGTCATTCATTCCCAGCAGCCTTGGCAGGAAAGGCTGAGCAGGTTAGGCAGGCTCTTCAGTTGCCTTGAGTGAGGTGCATTATTAATAATGTAATGCCACACACGCACGCTGGTTCTAAAATTAGCAAATATGATATTCTCTCTCCTTTTAAGAAATAAAGACTGGCATTTTATATTCCTGGTTTAAACTCAGCTTGTGTTCCCCCTCCCCTATGGTCTTACTTTGTTATGAAACTATTACATCCATTTCCTCTATTTTTCTTCATTTGTGCAAATAATTTTAAAACATCCTCTCTTGCTCCAAGTTAAATTTAGCTTAAGATTGAAATTTGGTAGTTGCATTATTATCTCTGTTCTAGAGCTTTGTAACGCATACAACAATGGATTAAATTCATGCTAATGAGACCTAACAGGAAGTTAGGTATATGGACATTTCCCTAGTCTATTTCTTGCTTCCTGCTTTATTGAGGTAAGTACTGTCATTATATGGAGCTGCTCCTTTTTCTTGTTTTTTTAACTGTTCCTCTTAAGTTAGTATTTCCTACTGTTTACCATAATTGGGTGTTTCTGGTTTTATAATTTAGTATTAAGATAGGAGAAAAAAGGTCTCTTCTCCTTATAACTTTAGATTCACAAATAGAATGTATTAAGTTGTCATCAGAGAAGCTCAAACTCAGTGAAACATAAATAATTCAAAATCAACAGCTATGCAGGTATGTGCCCAAAGTTGCTAGAATAACCTTCCATTTTTCTAAAACTTTGTAATCTGTACTGACCTGCACTACCTTTAAGGATTAAGGGCAAAATAAAACATTTTTAATAAAAATAAGACTAAGAACTATTAAAAATATACTTGAGAAGAAGGATATTAAAACCAGAAATGAGAAGTGGATTATGAGAATCAAATAAAAGAATATAAATGAGTGAATAAATCTAATTGAACTGTATAGAAACAACATTGGAACCAAAATACTAACAATAATAAGTTGCAGAGGCACCTGCGTGGCTCAGTTGGTTAAGCATCTGACCCTTGATTTTGACTCAGGTGATGATCTCACGGTTCATGAGATTGAGCCCTCCACTGGGCTCTCAACTGAAAGAAAGGAGCCTGTTTGGGGTTCGTTCTCTCTCTCTGTCTCTGTCTCTGTCTCTCTCTCTCTCTCAAATAAATAAACTTTACAAAGGAATAAGTTACAATTTGAGAAGTGAATATTTGGCATTAAGCATTTTAATATATTATTTTTGAAGAGGATATACTATATATTTTCTATAGATATGTATCAATTAGATACTTTTAATCACTCAGGAAACCAGAAGCGAATATAATTGCCAAAGTTCTTGTCCTCATATGACTTAATTCTGCTGTGAAAGCAATAAGTGAATATTTATTATATACGTATATGATAAATATACAATATGCTAAATGGTGAAAAATTCTTTGAGGAAAAAATAAAACCGTGAAAGAGATAAGAGCATCCCAAGTGGTAGGGAGGAAAGTTGCCATCTTAAATGTAAGTAAGGTATTCAGGGAAGTTTCCCTGGTAAGATTAAATTTGAGGAAAGACTGAAGAAGTAAGGGAGTGAGCCATGTGAGAAGGTGCCAGGCAGTAGGAACTGCCAGTAAGAAGCCCTGATGCCAGCGGTATGCTTGGCTTGAGAAGTAGCAAGACCAATGTGCTCAGAGTAGAGTGAATCCAAGGAGAGAGTTGGAAAAGATGATATTAGAGAATGCCTAGGGGTTCCAATCATATGGGGTTGGTAAGCCACTATAAGGACTTTGGCTTTTTCTTGATATAAGAAATCATTGGATGGTTTTGGCCAAGAAAAATGATGTGAGCTGGCTGCTATAGATATATATCTCTATATATATCGACAGTAAATTGCAGGGGGACACAGTGAAACACTTAGGAGGCCTTTGCAGTAATACAGATGTGAGGTGGTGGTGGTGAGGCCTGGATAGGCTAGAAGTTCGTACGAAGGAATCATGTTCTACATGTATTTTGAACGTAGTGACAACAGGATTACATAAAGGATTGGATGTCGGCCATTAAAGAGAATCATTGTGGATAATTCTAAAGTTTTTTTCTGAAATGATGGAAATACCGTATGTTATTACACGTAGGGGAGGGGGGAATTAGAAGTTTTGTTTGAATACATTAAGTCTAAACTATCTCTTAGACATCCAGATGGGGACATCAAGTAGCTGCTGAGTATAAGAGTCTGAAGTTCAAGAGAAAGGTGCAAGCTGGAGTTAAAAATTTGAAATGTGTGAGCCTGTAATGGGTGTTTCAAGCTGTGCGATTGTATGAGATCACCTAGGGAATGAGAATAGAAAAGAGGAAAAAAAATAGATACAAGGACTTGGCTTTAGATATACCAACACTGAGAAGTTGGGAAAAATAAGGAGGACCCAGCAAAGGAGTCTGGAAAGGAATGGCCCTTAAATAAGGGGGATAATCGAGAGGGCGGTGTTCCGAAAGCTAAGACACCGACAATCCCAGCTGTACTGTTGTTTAAGAGGAAAGGGAAATCCTCACTTCCCCATTCAGCATCATGTAAGAGTATTAGAAATTTGTTCTAAAAACTGGTGTGGAACTTACAATGGAGGTGTGGTACCCCCTCCTTAACCTTTGCTTAGAATACTCTTTCTTCTGTTACATGGTTGCTTCCTTTATTCACCAGTTACTTTCCCAGTGAGTGAGGCCTTGCCATGGCCACCCTAAAGTTTCATTTTATCCCCTATTCTGCCCCCAGATACAGCATATATCTCTTCCTTCCTTGATTCCCCCGCCCCCTTTAGCTCTTTTCATCACTAAATACACTCTAAATTTTACCTTGCTTGTCTCTCCTGGTAGAACGTAAGTTCTATGAATGCAGTGGCTCTTGTCTATTTCCACATGACTTATAAAACATTGCTTGACCTGTGGGAGTTTTGTTTTGTTTTTGTTTTTTAATTGACATAACTGTGGAGTCACATTCAATTGTAGGAAATAACGTGGAGAGATCCCTTGTTTGTACACTGTACTGTGTTTACTCTGGCTGCTGTAACAAATGACCACGACCTTGGTGGCTTAAATGCTAAACATTCATCCTCTTATAGGTGTGGAGGCCAGAAGTCAGAACTAAAGGTGCCAGCAAGGCTGCAGTCCCTCTGGAAGGTAGAATTTGCACCTTCCCTCTTCCTCCGGGTGGCCGCAGGCATTTCTTGACTTGTGACCACATCATTCCAACCTCTGCCTTCATCTTTGTATCACCTCCTCCTCTGTATGCTTACTCTCCCTCTGGGTCTCTTCTGTGATGACACGTGTCCCACCCAGATAATCCAGGACTACCGCCTCATCTCAGAGTCCTTAAATTCACCTCATCCTCATAGACTTGACCCTGTAAAATGGCATTCAGAAGTTCAGGGATCTGGCATGATTTCTTTGAGAACCACCATCCAGGCCACTACATGTTTTCCTAGATTTCAGAGTAGTAACATTTTGCATATCCATAGTACAGCATCACAGCCAGGATATCGATGTTGATACAATCCATCAATTTTATTCAGATTTCCCACCGTGACTTGGACTCACTTGCTTCTGTGTGCCCTCATCGCATTCAGTTTCATCACCTGTGTTATGTTCATGTATCCACCAGTCAGGGTAGTAAGTAGTTCACCACACAGATACTTCCTGTTGCCCTTTCCTAACTCCATCTACCTCCCTCCCATGGACCCCCAAAATCTTTCATACTACTTTAAATACCCAAATATAGTCTATTTAAAATTGAGATATAATTCACATACTATAAGAAATTGCCGTCTTAAAGTATGCATTTGGTAACTTTTAGCATTCACAAGGTTGTACAACTATCAGCACTATTTCCAGAACATTTTCAATCACCCCAAAGAAAACCCTGCACTTGTCAACAGTTATCATGTCTCTTTCCTCTCAGCCAATGGCAACTATTCTACTTTCTGTCAGTAAATTTACACTTTCTGGACATTTCATATAAATGGAATCATACGGTATGTAGCCTCTGTGTGCCTGGATTCTTTCACTTAAAATTACGATGTTTCAAGGTTCATCCATGTAGCATAAATGAGACCTTCATTTCTTTTTATGAGTAAATACGCCATTGTATGGATAGACTCCCTTTGGTTATCTGTTTCTTAGCTGATGGGTATTTAGGTTGTTTTTACTCTGTTGCAAACAGTGCTGCTGAAAACATTTTAAGTTTTCATGTGGATATATGCTTTGAGTTCTCTTGAGTTTTTCTTTAGAAATGGAATTGCTTGGTCAGTTTGATAACCTCTGTGTTTAACTTACTGAATTAATTACCAAACTGTTTTCCCCAGCAGCTGCACTATTTTATATCCCCATCAACAGTGAAGAAGTTTCTAATATCTCCATATCCTCTCTAACACTAGTTATTTTCCATTTTGCTTTTTTTAAATAGCTAATCTATTGGGTGTAAAGTAATATCTCATTGTGGTTTTGATTGCTATTTCTTTTTTTATTTTAAATTTTTTTTTTCCAACGTTTATTTATTTTTGGGACAGAGAGAGACAGAGCATGAACGGGCGAGGGGCAGAGAGAGAGGGAGACACAGAATCGGAAACAGGCTCCAGGCTCTGAGCCATCAGCCCAGAGCCCGACGCGGGGCTCGAACTCACAGACTGCGAGATCGTGACCTGGCTGAAGTCGGACGCTTAACCGACTGCGCCACCCAGGCGCCCCTTGATTGCTATTTCTTAATGATATAGAACATTCATATCATTTTGCTTATTTGCCATTTGTATATCTTTCCTGAAGAAATGTCTATTCATGTAAAATATCTTTTACATTTTTTAATTGAGCTGATTATCTTTTTACTGTTGAACTGTAAGAGTTCTTTATATATTCTGGAAACTAGACCACATTTTCTCCTATTTATGTATTGTCTTTTATCTTTTCTGCTGGTGCTTTTTGATGAAGTCTGATTTATCTGTATGTTCTTGGGCTGCTGTGCTTTTGCTCTCATACCTAAGAAAGCATTACTTAGTCCAAGGTCATGAAGATTTACACCTATATTTTCTTCTAGCAGAGTTACAATTTTACCTCTTAAGTTCAGGTCTTTGATTCATTTTAATTTTTAAATTTTTATATGTGATGGGGCACCTGGGTGGCTCAGTCGGCTGAGCGTCCGACTTCAGCTCAGGTCATGATCTCACAGTTTGTGGGTTCGAGCCCCGCATTGGGCTTTTTGCTGACTGCTCGGAGCCTGGAGCCTGCCTTCCTCTCTCTGTCTCTGCTCCTCCCCTGCTCATGCTGTGTCTCTCTCTCTCCTTCAAAAATAAATTAAAAAACATTTAAAAAACTTTTTAAATTTTTGTATGTGATGAGAGTTTGGATCCATATTTATTCTTTTGCATGTGCAAATCTAGTTGTCCCAACACCATTTCTTTGAAAGGACTACATTTTCCCTACTGAATGGTCTTGAAGCTCTTGTCCAATATCAGTTGACTATAAATTTGAGTTTATTTCTAGACTCTCAGTTCTGTCCCATTGATCTGAATGTATATCCTTAATGCAGTAACACACTGCATTGCTGTAGCTGTGAAGTAAGCTTTGAAATCAGTAAGTATGAGTCTTCTGACTTTGTTCTTCTTTTTCAAGATTATTTAGATATTCTGAGTCACTTCAGTTAGCATATGGTTAATTTCTGTAAAAAGGATAGTTGGAATTTTGAATAGTGATTGTGTTGAATCAAGATCAGTTTGGAGATTATTGCCATCTTAACAATATTAAGTCTCCCCAATCTATGAAAATGGATGTCTTTCCATTAATTTCAGTCTTTATTTTTTTTTTCAATGATGTTTTGTAGTTTTCAATATCTGTGTCTTTTCGTAAATTCATTCATAAGTATTACATTCTTTTTGATGCTATTATGTTTTAATTTCATTTTTGGATTGTATTGCTAGTATATAGAAATACTAGTTTTTGTATATTGAGCTTTTATTCTGCAACCTTATGAAACTTGTTTGTTAGCCCTAATAGTTGGATTCTTTTTTTTTTTTTTTAAGTGTTTTTATTTATTTTGAGAGAGAGAGTGGGAGCAGGGAAGTGGGGGGGGGCGTGGAGAGAGAGAGAGAGAGAGAGAGAGAATATGAATATCCCAGGCAGGCTCTGCATTGTCAACACAGAGCCCTATGCAGGGCTAGAACTCACAAACCATGAGATCACTGTCTGAGCTGAAGTCGGACATTTAACCCACTGAGCCACCCAGGCGCCCCTAGTAGTTGGATTATTTATGGTTTCGTATATATAATATCATGCCATGTAGAAATAAAAGTAGTATGGGGTGCCTGGGTGGCTCAGTCAGTTGAGCATGGAGCCTGCTTCAGATTCTGTATCTCCCTCTCTCTCTACCCCTCACCCCCCCCAAAAAAAATTTTTTTTAATAAAAATAAAAGTAGTTTTAGTTTTTCCTTCCAATCTGAATGCCATTGTTTCTTCTTCTTGCTTAATTACCTTGGCTAAAACTCTAGTACAGTGTTGAATTACCAAGACCAGTCATGCCTGTCTTACTCCTGATTTTAGAGAGAAGCTTTTGGTCTTTCACCATTAACTATGATATGAGCCATGGCTTTTTTGTAGATATTCTTTATCAGGTTGAAGAAGTTCCTTTCTATTTTGAGTTTGAGTGCCTTTATCATGAAAGGATGTTGGGTTTTGTCAAATGCTTTTCTAATATTAATTAAATTTACATTGTTTCTTTTTCCTTTGTTTTATTAATATAGTGTATTACATTAATTGATTTTCATACGTTGAACCAACATTGCTTAGCTGGGATAAATTCCCATTTGGTCATGATGTATAATCCTTTTTATGAGCTGCTAGATTTAGTTTGCTAAAATTTTGAGGTTTTTTTGCGTATGTATTTACAAGTGACATTGGCCTGTCGTTTTTTCGTCATGTCTTTGCCTGGTTTTGTTATTAGGGTAGTACTGTCTTCCTAGAATAATTAGGAAGTATTCCCTTCTCTTCATTTTTTGAGATGAGTTTGTGGAAGAATTACATTAATTTTTCTTCAAACATTTGATAAAATTCACCAGTGAGGCCATTTGGATTTGACCTTTATTTCTGGTAAATTTTTTGACTACTCATTCAGTCTCTTTAAGTCTTAATCATATTGTCTGTTCTTTCCAGTCATTTTAAGTTCCCTCTCTTTTTTCCTTTGTCTGATGGTTTGTCATTTTTGTTGACTTTACCAAAGAACCAATTTTTGGTTTATTGACTCCCTCCATTGTTTTTCTATTGTGTTTTTCTTTCCTCTAATTTTTTTTCTGCCCTAATTTTTCTTATTTCCCTCCAAATTCTGCTAGCTTTGGGTTTAGTGTGCTCTTCTTTTTCTAGTTTCTCAAGGTGTAAAGTTAGATGATTGATTTGGGATCTTCTTTTTAAGTGTTGGGCACTCACAGTATAAATTACTTTCTGAGCGGTGTCTTCACTACATCCCCTAAGTTTTGGTTTGTTGTGTTTTTGTTTTCAATTGTCTCAAAGTAATTACTTTCCTTTGTTACTTTTCTTGGACCTTTAATTATTTAGGCTTCTGCTGTTTAATTTCCACAAATTTGTGAATTTCTCAAATTTCCTTCTCTCATAGGTTTCTAATTTTATTCTGTGTGGCCAGAAAAAAAACATACTTTACAAGTCTTAGTATAACTTTTATATTTACTGAGATGTGTTTTATGGCCTAAAACATAGTCTGTCCCAGAACGTATTCTGTGTGTGCTTGAGAAGAATATGTAGTTTGCTATTATTGAATTAAGTGTTCTCTGCATAGATGCCTGTTAGGTCTAGTTAGATTATAGTGTTATTCATATCTTCTATTCCCTTGCTGATCTTTTGTCTATATAATACTCACTACTGAAAGTAGGATACAAAAATAACTATAATTGTAGATTTTTTCCTCTTTTTAGTTCTGCCAGTTTTTGCTTCATGTATTTGAGAACTCTCTTGTTAAGTACTTATATGTTTAAAATTTTTATATCTTCTTGATGTATTAATCCTTTTCTTGTAAAATGTTCTTTGTATCTGAGAATTTTTTGTTTAAAGTTTAATTATTTTCTGATCTTAATATGGTTATTCCACCTCTCTTTTAGTTACTGTTTACATGGTGTATCTTTTTCCATCTTTTTATTTTCAACTTATTTGTGTCTGTGATTCTAAAGTGAATCTTTTTTGGACAGCATTTAGTTGGATCAACTTTTTTTTATCCATTCTGCCAATCTGCTTTTTAACTGATGAATTTACCCCATGGTATGTGTTTTATATATATGGGTACGTTATGTAGTAAGTTCTTAATATTTATTGAATCTCTGAATATTTGTTGAATGAGTGAACAAATGGACCATTCTCATGTGGGTCCATACAGTCAAAAATGTTAAATTATTACAGTACCAGATTTAGCAAAGTATGTATTTCAAGCAATGCATATCAGCCCAAGTAGGAATATGTTAGGGTATTTGAACATTAAACAACATACATGTAATTTGACTTATAGCAATAGTAGATTGAAGGAGATTAACCAAAGGTCACAGCAATGACCAGACAGGAATTTCTTAATTAAAATTCATTGCCCATTCAAAATTTTCCAAAACAATAACAAGAACTATATGCTAACTAAGAGTGGAAATGAACTTCCTTGGCTTGGCAAAAGGTGCCTTTAAAAAAGAAAATTATTAGGGGCGCCTGGGTGGCGCAGTCGGTTAAGCGTCCGACTTCAGCCAGGTCACGATCTCACGGTCCGTGAGTTCGAGCCCGGCGTCAGGCTCTGGGCTGATGGCTCAGAGCCTGGAGCCTGTTTCCGATTCTGTGTCTCCCTCTCTCTCTGCCCCTCCCCCATTCATGCTCTGTCTCTCTCTGTCCCAAAAATAAATTAAAAAAACGTTGAAAAAAAATTTTTTTTAAAAATAAAAAAGAAAATTATTGTTAATATTGGTTCCTCATGGAAAACTCAGTAGAAGCTTTCCCTTTAAAGCTAAGAATGAGACAAGGTTGCCTACAGTCCCCTCTTGTATTTAGCATTGTATTGGAGGAACCAAACAGTATTGTATGAAAAGAAAAAGAAGTTAAAAGCCTTAAAGCAGAGAAAAAAAGAAAAAAGCAGTACTCATCATTTGCTGATTCTCTGATTATTGTGTACAAAGAAAGTCCAAGACAATCTGTAAACAAACTTCAAGTCTATATTTTTCTAGAGAACTTACATTTATTGGTGTCATAAAGACAAATTTTAAAATAGAGGAGTGATGTGAGAGTCTTATCCAAAAGAACATTCTTTTCAGTAGTTGCATTTTAAATTGTACATAAGAGTATTTGAGTAGTTTTTATACTCAAGCTATATGTTCTTCTCTGTAGAGCTACAGAGAGTTCTGATGAAGTGGAGAGCCTGCGACCCCCTCGATTCTTTAATGAGGATGGAGTTATCAGACCTTACAGGTTGAGGGATGGGACTGGCAACCAAATGTTACAGGTGGGTGAAGAAGTATCTTACACACTAAGATTAATTTAGTCAAGTTTGCTTTATTAAAAGTATCTATATAATGATTCCAATATATATTAGATTATTTGGGCTTTAGATGTTTTGCTTAATTCTGTTTAGAAGTTTTTTATGTTTACTTAGGTTTTAATGTACGTTTATTTACTATAAGATTTTTTTTTCTTTTTTACAGGCATCAAAAAGTTTGATATGAAAACAGTTAATGCATGACTTTGCAAGTGAAAGCCAGCAGTAGATTTTAGTCTTAAAATTTACAAACTACGTACAGCTGTTTCAGTATTTTGAATACAAAGAAAAGCTTTCATATTGGTAACTTTTTGTATAGGATTTTAGTGAATCTGATCTCGGTATAGGGTATTCTTAGTTCTGTACTGGATTTGCTAGATTCGTTGCAAACCATCATGCCTTTTGTACCCTCATAATTGGTGGTACTTACTTAACCAGTTAGACCATTTCTGTGTAGGGGACTCCCTCTGCATATCAAGCCGCTGGTAGCTTTAATACAATTCTCCTGTCCACTTGGGCAAGGATAAGGGAAAAATCAGTTCTACTGCTATTGTGAATTCTTGGGTTTCTTAGGCTTTTCTTTGGAAAATATTCAAGTGGCCATGACCTTCTTCCTGCCTTATGCTTGTGTAGTCTATTTAAAACCTGTGGAATCTGATAAGCAGTTCACATGAAAGCCAACATCTTTTAGAAAGGAAAATTAGCTTTTGAAACAGACCATTTGAAGGTAGAATATTTTACCAGTTTAGATACTTTTCTTACTTTGAAAATTGTCCTTTTTAAAATTTGGATTATGGTGTAGGTAGCATACATAATAGGTTATACCGATTTCAAGTTACTTCATCTGTGGTTTAGATGTGGAGTACTAAAGTAAATCACTTGTTTGAAAACAAACCAGTGTTATGTTAAGTAGACTTGAAAATATTCGTAGTAATAATAACCTGTAGGGATATGGTGCTTCCTTTATAGCCTTGATATTTTAAATATTTTCATGTTGAAAATGACCATGGTAAATATTTAAAACTTCAGTATTTTACCCACTACATGTAGAGAATATCATTTTGAATAAAAGGTGTTTCCATCTAATATAGTAAAACATGACCATTGAGTTAATGTGTATTATTTAATAAAGTGATACTGTATTTAAAATGTTTTTAAAGCCTCAAAATAATTGCATATGGGGTAGAACTGGCAATCTAGTGAGAGGTTGTGCTCTAAAAGGCATTTCGTACAATCTCTGCAATGACAGTGTATCATTCTTTGGAAGATGCAAATGGTGCAGAAGTCACCTACGGTTAATATATTTGAAAAATATACTTCTATTCAGTTGCTGCCTTCCCGTGTTAGGGAAGTAATGTGTTCCTTACATTAATAACTTATGTTAATAACATAGTACTAACATTTTATTGGAGTGCCTAGTCATCACCTATTGAAAAACTAAAAATATTTCTTGAGAAATTTTTAATAAATTTAGTAAGAAGGAAGTGTGAGTAGTGAGGAGAATTTAGAAATACATCCTCATTACCAGGGAAAAGATTATAACAAAAGGAGAGAGACATGAGATACCAAAAATTTCTCACAGCTGACAACTTGATTTTAGTGACAAGTAAATGTATTTTATACATTCATTAATTGTTAACTGAAGCTTTAAATTTTGGGATTTAAAGGTCAGGACTCTTGACTGTGTGTTTTTAAAGGTGCATATTATTTTTAGTAGGCCAGTCTTAGTATTAATTGCTAAAAGAGCTATTTAAAGGACTAAAACCTCACAATCCTTGTCAGCCATTTTACTTGTTTTTCAGCAAGAGCATAAATACAGTAGTAGCTGGAACACCTGTAGGAATTCACCAGAGGCCTTAGGATGTTTTTGGTTAGCATTATCTCTTACAGGTGTAAGAAGTAGGTTGTTGGTTTGGTGGTAATGGTGCTTTTTTAATCACAAGTCTGTTATTAGCAAACAGTTTAAAATCCATGAATGGCAGTGTATAGAAAAAAAGTAGATGACATAGAAACAGGATTTAAAATCTCATCTGCCAAGATTTCATCTAAGTGACTTGACAGTGGTGCCCTTCGAAAATGTTTAATATTTGAAATGTTTCTCATTTTTCTTTTTCTAATTCTCCAAAAAAGGTACTCTGTGTTCAGTAAATTATATGGATCAAAATATCATTAAATATAAAATATACTCTGTATGCCTTTGCATCTAGAAAGAAGTGCCATATTATAGTGCTTCCTGGTAGTCAATTCAGGTTACCTGCTAGAGAAATAGGATAACAATTCTAACATATTCACGAAATACCTTACTGGTATTACCAAATTATTTTACCCATTGAGTGTACCAACCAGTGGAACTTATTAGTCTTAGGTCTCTTAAGTTATGGAATATATCCATAATTACTGTCCTACTCATCTGAAAAGTCTGATTCAAAATTATTCTAACTCGAACATTTCACAATTTTACATGTTTGCAAGCATTTTGCCATGCCTGACTAACCTTTGTGCTTCTTTTTTCCTTTACCATGCTTACAGAAAATTCAGGTCTACAGGGAGTGGATCATGACTCACAGTAGCAGTAGTGATGATGATGATGATGATGAGTCAGATCTGAAATGTTAAATTCATGTGTTCTTTGTCATTTTATTTGGACTGTTTCATTAACATGTTTTGTATGACTGCTACCCTAATGCCTATATATCCATTTGTAAGGAGTGAAAATACCTTTTTCCTTTGAAAATGTGTTTTTACACATTTTCAGAAAGCAAAGTAATTGCATTATTAAGCACAGAAAAATGTATTTTACATCCAAAGTGGGGCATATTGTATTTTCTACCATTTGCTTGTATATGTTTTGTGGCTTTATAAAACGCAGAGTTTGTCTTTACGATTTAAAGGTAGACTTAAATATTTCTTTAATGTTCACTAGTTTTCTTTTAAATTATCTGCTTATTAGCAAAATGCCATTTCTAATATTCTCTGTAAATTTTCTGGGCTATAATTCCATTGTGTAAAAGAAAAATAATAGGAACACCAAGTCAATATTTTATATTTAGCATTTGAAAAGTATTTTTGTCAAATTTCTTTTAATAATAATAAACTTATGTAACTTCAATATGAATGTGTTGTTCTATTCCAAAATCATATAGGTTGTACCACTCTCATAAGGAACATTCATGATTTGTCATGGAAGGTTAGGTGGTGATATAATGTGTAGTCTTAGAATGAAAAATAATGTTCTTTGGTTCACTTTTTATTTCATTATATGTATATTTTTGTGAAACAAGGAACAGAGTTGGTTTTATAGCCATTATATTTATTTGTTAACCTAAATATCCATATGCTATATCCCTGTTATAAAATATTACAGATTAATTCAGGATATTAGAAGAATTTTTATAGTATTTTTATAGTATTTTTTTAAAATTTTCAACTTGAACGATTTTGTCCCATTTTTTAAAAAAATTTTTTTTCAAGAGAGAAAGCGAGCACGCCTACTTGTGAACAAGTGGGAAGGGGTGGAGAGAGGTAGACAGAAGATCTCAAGCGGGCTCCTCGCTGACAGCAGAGAGCCTGATGCGGAGCTCAAACTCCCAAACTGAGATCGTGGCCTGAATTAGATGCTTAACTGACTGAGCCACCCAGGCACCCCTATCTTGTCCTAATTCACTATTCAGTTAGATGTACAAAAGAAATCGTCTAAAGGTGAATGACTAGTAGTAATATATATTTTTTTAGCTTTTATTTCAATTCCAGTTCATTAACCTACAGTATAGTATTAGTTTCAGGTGTACAATATAGTGATTCACCAGTTCTTTATACTACCCAGTGCTTATCAGGACAAGTGCACTCCTTAATCCCCATCACCTATTTCACCCATTCCCCCACCTACCGCCCCTCTGGTAAACCATCAGTTTGTTCTCTATAGTTAAGAGTCTGTTTCTCGGTTTGCCTGTGTCTCTCTTCTAATTCTTTTTTAGTTAAATGGTAATCCCTATGACTGCTGTGTTTTTGGATCAACAAACATTTACCTTGACTTATGTTAATCAGTTTATATTGAGCTTATATTAATTGGATTGTAGTAAATAATTGCTTAATCAACTTTTGGTTTAATTGATTCAACTCATCATTTCTGAATCTCTTCTGATTCTTAAGTTTACCAAGATTTTAGTTCTATAAATCATTGTTCTATTTCTTAGAAAATGACTAGTTTAATTATTTAGTATTGAGTTTACAAAAAAAGAAGCTAAAAAATGATAAGGTCTTTTGAAATTTCTACCTGCCTAGCATTCATTTATTTTTTTTTTAAATTTTTTTTTTCAACATTTATTTATTTTTGGGACAGAGAGAGACAGAGCATGAACGGGGGAGGGGCAGAGAGAGAGGGAGACACAGAATCGGAAACAGGCTCCAGGCTCTGAGCCATCAGCCCAGAGCCTGACGCCGGGCTCGAACTCACGGACCGCGAGATTGTGACCTGGCTGAAGTCGGACGCTTAACCGACTGCGCCACCCAGGCGCCTCCATTTAAATTAAATAGAAATCAAGGTTGTATATACTAGGACTAAGAAATATGTGAGTGCCAAATAATTTAATTATTGTTTTCACCAGAATAGTATTCTTCTCTTTTTGGATGAGTAAATACATGAGAACAGTGACCATTAAAATAGTCATGACTTGTATCAGAGACAGTGTAAATCCATCTTATCGCCATTGGTCTCTCACCCCTGGCCAAAATCAAACAAAACCTACTCCTTCTACAAGGAGCTAGAAAGAGCACAACCTATTGTTACGTATTGCGTATGTCTTAGGAAAGGCCTGGAAATGTCTTCATTGACTTTTTACACTTCAGCGAGGCACAGGGCCTTTCTAAGTGGGAAAACTACTGAACTTCTTGATTACAAGGCATTTACTGACTTTCCTGTGGTTCGTCTGTGACACTTAATGCTATGGTATAAGTTTCATAAAGATTTG